CTTAAATTGTTATTTTTATTTCTAATTTTTCTTGTCTTTGAGTTAATATCTTTGGAATGACTCCAGATATCTTGACAGCCCACACTTCAGTTCATAGTAGTTTTCTGCTTCACGTTGCTCTAGAGGTAGCCGAAAGACAGGCAACTTTTCTTCACCCACAGTTTGTGAGCTCGGAATATTCACACGTGAACGTTTTTCTTGATGTCATATTTCTCTCCCGTCAGCACAATCGTATAGAAAATGGCAATCATGTCAGTTACCAGATTCACTAACATTTCCTGTAATACGGACATTAGAATAATAAGGAATCCTCTGTTCTCATTAGCACATGACAGGCTTGCTCACCTCCCTCTGAGCCATATCTCCTGTCTGGGCTTCATTGTTCCACCTCTGTGCTTCCCTGGACACAGGGTCTTGCCCTGGCGCCCCTCTCTGTGCTGCCCCCACGAGGCCTGTGGTCTTTCCTCGCCCATCACTACTCCTCTTTCAAGAGCTCCTTCACCTTCCCTCTGCTCCTCGTGCCCGCCCTCCCTCCACTTGCAGTTTTAGCGGTTAACCACCGGTCAGAAGGGCTTATTAAACAAGGCTTAGGAACCTCCCCTCCGGAGATAGTGTCCTGAAAATCTGTTGAGTGATCTTCTGTGCTTCAGGGCAGGGGCATGTAAACAGGTATCTACAAAGGAGCGTTGTGTAATGGGGGGAGCAGTTACCACTGACTGCCTGCGGGGACTAGGGAAACCCTTGCAGAGGAGGTGATTGGTAGGAGTCAGTACATCATGGCTGGAGGTGATCTGCGGGGTGGGAGGAAGAGGACATTTCAGACCCGGAAAGCTTGCACAAGCACAAGTGCTCCACAAACAGGGACTTCGCCTCTTTCCCCTGAGTGCTTCCTCTGATTGCTTTGATTTCCTTGTGTGATTGGCCCCAGGCCCCCAGAACACTTTCACCAATACAGTTCCACCTCTAAGAGGTAGCAGTCTTCCTTTATTTTCACCTGCTTTTAGCCGCATTACAACTTAATTTTTCTCTGCTGTTTTCAAGTGGATCCTCTTTCATGTCTGGTAGACTCTCTTTGCCTTCTTTGATATGAAGGTACTTGTGCCTGTAAATATATATATATATATTTATATATATAAATAAAAATATATATTTTTTAATCTATTAGCTGAGTTGCTGAAATCTTGGTTTGCTAAAGGAAACCGATGGCAATCAGGAACCATGGTCTTTGGCTTCCAAATCAAATGTGAAATACTCACTGTGGGCACAGGGTAGGAAAGACCTCACCTGTCGCCACTTGCATCCTACTTTTAAAATCCCTGTGCCCATGCCATCGCTGGTCAGACTTCACGTTTTTCTGTCTTGCTGGTGTAGGTAAACATATTTCAGAGCATTCCGTTTGTTTGTTTCCTCAGCGATAGAATAACAGAAAGCCTTCCTTCATTCAGCAGGTGTGTACTGAATGCAAGCTGGTTGTTCTTCCAACCTAAAATATTTAGTATAGTTAAGTCTCTTTTTCCCATCATAGCTTCTGTGATTCTCCTCTATTTTTCTTGAAGGCTTTCCTCACTCAAAACATTATTAAGAGTTCTCACATGTTTATTTCTCCCCTTTTTTTGGACCAGTCGCAGTTTCATGAGCACTTTCTATGATTGTTAAGATTGCCATAAGGGGGGAAAAAAGCTGAGACCATCTCAGCTAACATGTAGCTTAGACTTGAAAATAGTATTGAAGAAATCAAGGCAAGTGATATGTTTCAAGCATTGCCTTCTTTCTCCAGCTGTAGTTAGTGCTTCCCGTGACCTCCAGTTCTCCATTCTCAGGGTAGAAACATAGCTAAGGCCTTAGTAGTAGATGCTCGACATACAGGACTAAAACACTGCATCGATGAACTCGTCATTTTGATGCTAAGATAAAAGTCAGACTGGGCGGAAAAGAAACTTGACAGATCCAAATGATCTGGAGTTGGGAGATGTTATTATAATCCAGCACTGAGTACTTAAGTGCACCCTGCAAGTACTCATTGATAATGTGCTACATACTTTGTCATACTCTGAATATAAGTTTGAATAAAGTTATAAAGAGATTTGCCATTTGATTAATTTTCAGAGTCTGATTCTGCAATTTAAATTACCATGTAGTTTGCTTCATAAATAGATTAGGAAAGAATTCTCAGGGAGTCTTCAAGGAGACCAACTGTTTGCCTTTTGAGTACAGTCAGTAATACTGTAATAACTGTGTGTGGTGCGAGGTGGGTACTTGAAATATCGGGGCAATCACTGTAAAGTATGGGATTGTCTAACCACTATGCTGTACTCCTGAAACTGATACAAAATAACATGTGATTCATGTTCTCTTCCATGTGAGTCATTCACTTGGTGGCAGGGGTTTGAGAGGGCCAGAGTGGGAGCAGCAAGGCCTCGGGAGGCCTAGCCTCAGAGTGGCAGCACTCATGCTATACTCTATTGGTCGACAGGCCAGCCTTTGATTTAAGGGAGCAGAAAGCCTGTGTCCAGTTTTAATCTGCTGTTTAAGGAATGCTCTTAAATGTGATTAAAAGCTTAAGATGGTGCTTGAATGTAAATGGTCTTGACAGTAACTTGGCTTCGCTTTCATTTTCAATCTTTTGGCTTCAACTTTATTAACTTTTTTTAAAAAATCTTCACCCAAGGATATGCTTATTGCTTTTAGAGAAAGGAAGAGAAACATCGATGTGAGAGAGAACATTGATCAGTTGCCTCCCACACATAGGCTGACCAAGGATTGAACCCACAGCCTTTGGGAGTATGGGACGATACTTCAACCAACTGAGCCACCCGGCCAGGGCTATTAACATTTTATTACAAGTGATAGTCAGTGTGCTAACAGAAAGGACCATAGGGCAGCTAGCAACTTAATTCTTCATTTTTGGTTTATTCTGCCAGCAGTTTTTTATGGAGAATTAGGATTTGGATTTACTTGCTCTAAATTTTTCTCTACTGCTTTTATTTTTATGGTGGGAGCAGAGGAGGAGAAGGGAGAGAGCCAGAATCTGCATCCCATCATCTTAGTCCTTCCAGCCCCTTCCTGTTCGTTGTCCAGCCCTGGAAGTTAGTGTTGCTGAAATCGGCTGTTTAGTTGAAACCTTAGTTCTGCATACATTAGATATTTGAATTAGACACCAGAAAATGTCATATAAAAGTGCTATGCAAACTTATAGGGTGTAAATAGTAAAAAAAAGTTAAGTTTTGTGTGATAGTTCATTTATAGACTAAATCTTCATTTTATACCAAGTTAGCTTGTTGAAACTTCAGTCTTCTCATAGGACATAAGTTGTGAACAGACCTATGTTTATGTGTAAAGCGATAAGAACAAAATTGCTTTTTTTTAAAAACAAGATGTGAATTGATTAAACTTGGTATTTTTACTCTTATATAAATCAAGAAATGGGGCCATTTTGCTCACAAGTTATTTTTACCTTTTAGGCATATAAAAGATAATAGTTTTGTTGTAAACCCTTAGCAGCCAGGAGACTTACTATTTTAAATTTTTCCTTTTTAATTAAATGTATTAGGGTGACATTGGTTAATACAATTACATAGGTTTCAGGGGTACAATTTTGTAGTACGTCATCTGTATATTGTATTGTGTGTTCACCATCCCAAGTCAAGAAGAAGGAGACTTGTTTTTGTTCTTATAATGTTTCAGTGGGACTAAGCCATCTCTTTCTTGACAAACTCAATCAGAACAGTCTCTTGGAATTTTTGTTTGGGGCTCAGGACATCTTATTTTGCCTTTTACATGTTTTTCAAGTATTGCTATTTAACATTAATTTTCTTAAGTGTGATCTAAATGGAAGTGTTATACAAATTTCAGAATGTTGGAATTTTAAGATGTATTTTTAAAAATATATAATAAGTATGACTGACTTTTTCAAAAGGATAATAGAAAGGAATGAAGGGAATATATTAAAGATAATTTTTTTAAGATTTTATTTATTTATTATTTATTTTTAGAGAGGGAAAGGAGGGAGAAAAAGAGAGAGAGAGAGAGAGTGAAACATCAATGTGCAGTTGCTGGGGGCCGTGGCCTGCAACCCAGGCATGTGCCGTAACTGGGAATCGAACCTGCGATACTTTGGTTTGCAGCCCGCGCTCAATCCACTGAGCTATGCCAGCCAGGGCTAAAGATAATATTGATATCCACTATTTGGTACATTTAAACTATATAAATTGACAGTTCACTCTTTTTTGAATTGTCATCAAAATTTATTGCTTAGAACTATACAACAACTTTTTCTCAGTTCTATTGAGATGTAATTGACATACAGCATTGGATAAGCTGAAGATGGTCAGCATGATTTGACTTGTGCGTATTGTGAAATAATCACCACAGTAAGTTTGGTTAACATCCATCAGCTCATATAGACACACACACACACACACACACACACAGAAAAGAAAAGAAAAAAAGGTTTTATTTTTTTGTGATGAGAACTCTTTGGATCTATTCTCTTAGCTTAGACATATTTTAAAGCATTTAATACAAGTTACAGAATCAAATTTAATAAAAATTTAGAATTAAAGAAGTCTTGGCAACAAAATGTGTGAAAATTCATCGGCATGCGTCCCAGCAGTGGGGGATTCCCAGTGTGTGGGTGGCACCCAGGCAAGCGTGAACATGTGGCCTTGACTTAGTATGACACAACTGGCCTTTCAGAGACTGTAGCTTAATTCCGTTTTAAACAACTGCTTGGATATAAAGCACCCTCTACGCATAGAAACGTATATTCCTATAAAGTGGGCAAGGTCACAGTGCTCCGCAAGGAAATTTTATTGGATAACGTAGATATTGTCACTCTAATCTTATAAAGGCACAAGCTAAAAACCAGGCACCATTGAGTTTGAACTCTTTTACTCCGGTCCCAAGTCACCTCTTCTTTCTACCACATCCCCAGTTCCTTCTGAACAGGCTGGTGTGCTGAGCGTGCGGACGTTTAGTCCATGTGCATATTTTTTCCCCAGATGTGACCAGCAGTTTGAGTATCACCAGTCCTGAACACATGATTGAAAAGGCCAAAGGGGAAACCGCCTATTTGCCATGCAAATTCACCGAGAGTCCAGAAGACCAGGGTCCACTGGACATTGAGTGGCTGCTATCACCAGCTGATAATCAGAAGGTGGATCAAGTGGTAAGTTTGCTCAGTGCTCACTCACTCAGCAGATGTTTCTGGAACTTGTCTTCAGTGCCCATCACTGTGCTGACCACAGAGGTGTGTGGGGCGTGACTTGTGGACCTTCTGCAGATCTGGATTGTAAAGTGTAGGTGAGTCAGAAGGCCGTGGAGCAAACATGATAGCACGGCAGAAATATGCATGTGTTAGGGACAGTGAGTAAGCTAGACTTCTGAAAAGTTGATAGAATGGAATTTTTAACTTTAACACAAGGATTCTGATGCCAGTAAAAGGGTCATCAGGTATAACAGTGCACAGCACAGTTACATACTGTTGTAAAGTCTGGTCTCTGTATTATTTCAGGTAAACATCCTGTGTACTGAATTTCTTTAAAAGCAAAGCAAAGTGTTCCTAGCAAAACAACTATTTGTAAAATATTTAGTACTAATTTAAAAAATTAAATGTCAAAATATTGTTACAGAAAATTTTGAAATCACAAAGTAATAAGAGCCAATGTAGAAAACTTGGAAAGGCAAAAGCAGCACAAAGGAGGAAAATTGCCTCCCTTTAATTGTACCAGAATATTTTACTTAATTTAGAATGTTGCATATTTGCTCCATCTGACACATTTAATTAAAAATGAACTCAATGTTAGTCAATTATATTAGATCAGGGAGAGAACAAATAACTCTATATATTAGAGGAATATGGTAATTCAGTTGGATCTTGGACAGCCCAGGTTTGAACTGTGCAGGCCCACTTATATGTGGATTTTTTTCAGTAAATGCGCTAAATGCATTTTCTCTTCTTTATGATTTTCTTAATAACATTTTCTTTTCTCTAACTTACTTATTGTAAGAATTTAGTATATAATACATGTACCATACAACATATGTGCGAATTGACTGTTTCGGTTATAGGTAAGGCTTCCCAGTCAGCAGTAGGCTATTAGCAGTTAAGTTTTGGAGCAGTCAAAAGTTATGTGGAGGTTTTCAACTGGAGGGTGGGTGTTGGTACCCCTAACACCCCTGTTGTTTGAAAATCAACTGTGTGTACATGTATATCAATGTGTTTATGTACACATATTTGTGTATATGTGTATATATGTATGTGTTTGTGTATACATATATATATTTAGAGGAGAAGTTTTATTTTTACTTATGGTCCATATAAAAGAAGGGGTTATTCAGCCATTCAGGAGCTGAACAGTGCAGTTAAATAATTACTGTTATTGGCATGTTTTCAGGCAGTTTGCCCATGATGTAATTGTAAGGGAAATAAATACGGTGCTTTCCCAAGTTCAGAGTAACTAGGGCCACACCCTCCAATGGCATACCTTTGCCCTGATTCTGCTCCTGGAAATTCCTTCCGTCCCCTAAACAAAATGAATGGAAATTGACTCATTGAGTCTGCTCAGCCCAGACACCCTGTTCCCTCCTTCCTTGCTCTTCCCACCCCCACCCCTGCCACGGCAGGGCCAGCACCCAGACCACAGGCTTCTATCCGAGGTCCTGCGCACCCTCCTGCCCTTGGCAGTGCAGGGTCCATCTCCCTTTCAAGTCCTGGACTCCACTCATGGTCTAGAGGAATGAATAGAGAGGGCAGGCATTAAATGCCTCTGGCTTAAGAATTATGAGTGAAGCCATAACCAGGTGCTTCTAGAGACCACGAAGCCCAGTGTGTTTCTGTAGTCTTGGAGGGGGACCTGAAGTCTTCTGTTGAGTGGGAGACATGGCCTTGCTTCCCTCAGGACTTACTGGTTAAAAAACTGGCCTCATAGTAAAAAACACGGTAAGTTTAGGTCAGAAGAAAGCTAGCAGGTTTAGGGAGGGACTGGCACAGGAGAGAATGCTTTCATAGACTTCAGGTACATTATGTGTTACCTGAGCCCTTATTTTAATATATTTACACTAGCAGGCAGTGTAGTGGGGGACTGGGCTGGAGCAATTTCCATCCTTCCTCCCTGTGTGATCTCTTTAGTCAGCAGACAGTTACCATGTACTGTGTCCTTACTGTGTGCTCTGTGGTGTTTCATGTACTCAAATTATATATATTTAAGCCTTAAAGCAGTACCCTAAAATGAGTATTGTTGTTTTATGCATCAAGAGGAGAAAGCAGAGGTCCAGAGATTTGAAGGAACCCGCCCAGAGTCACACAGCGGGCAGCGGGCAACGTCACAGCTGTTGTTTGAACCCAGGTTTCTCTGACCCTCCCCACCCCCCATCCTGCACCTTGTTATCCTTGGCACCATCCTGTGCTGCCTCCCATGTTGTTTCAGAGTCGTTTTGTTTCCTCAGATGGGAACAAAGACACCTACCTCTTAAGACTGTAATGAGAATTCACTGAAATGCTGTATGCTTAAGTAACTTGTAAGCCTACACGTCATGTAGAAATGTTAATAAAGCCAGTATACTGTGCCAGCTCAAAGGGATGTGGTTTGCATCTTGGCTGTGTGACTCTGCACTAGCTGATGTGTGAGAGCCACTGCTTTCCTCGAGCTAAAGGAAAAAACTGTGGACAGGACCACCCCCCTGCAGGGTTGTGAAGAGGAATCAAATGCCTGTTAAACAGTAGTTCCACATTTCTTAACTTCCACTCACAACATTGCTTTTGTGGGAAAATACCAAGATAGTTTACAAAATGAACTTAACAGTGGGGACACATCTCTTATTTGTCAGGCCCTCTTCCAAAGACTACGAAAGTGTGTGTGTGTGTAAGCAAAGTGAGGGATTGAAAGTACAACAGATCGGACTTCCTGGGGAGCCCACAGTTAAATACCAAGGGAGACAGGGCAACCTCCGTTGAGTTCTCAGTGTTGGTGTTGACACGGGTGTGGGTGTGGCGAGAAATGCAGCGAATGCAGTCCCGGCTGTTTCCAGAGTTTCTCAGCTGTGGACCCTTCAACTGTTTACTTAGCAAACTGTGACTGAGTGCTCCCTAGAAGCAGACACTTGGTGTTTGTGTGAATAAAAGATCTTTAGCAAATTAAGAATGGGAGTCAGCATGGTAGGGAGGTGACAGTACAGAAGAGAACCCAAGTCCCTGCCCTTAAGAAATTCCTACAGAGGACGTTTATTCTGACTGTCCTGTTGTTCATAATTAACATTTGGGATAAAAAAAATTATTTTCAGAGTACAGACTGTAGTCTGTTTTCTGATTATCATTTGACTAGCACCACTGGTCTGTGGCCCTTGGGTCACAGATGACCAGAATGAAAGATTTTGTTAGCAAATGTGGAAAAATTATCCGGTGTGTTGAATTAATTTTAGCTATAGTTAGAGGTGACTCTTATACCAATAGCTCTCTTCCAAGTCAGGTTTAACACAGAACTGATTTTCCCACTAGATTCAACCTTTAGTATTTCCATGAAAGCCCGTACGTAACTGGCTCCAGGAAGCTCAGGGGAATTGCGAAAGGGCCTTTGCTGTCACTCACAGGGGTTCACTGAGAGGCCCTGCTAACCTGGGCACACTTCTTAAGAGGCTTATTGTAGGATTCTTATCTGTTAGGGTCTAGAACCCTCAAGTATTAACTAACTCCCGACTTAGTATTCAGACAAAAAATGTCTTTTTTGGGTTTTGTTACATTTCACAGGTAAATTATCATAAGCCCTTTTTTTGGGAGTGGTGGGTGGCGTGCACTTAATTTTATCCACTTGATCGGCATACTGCACACTGCAGGATGGTGCAGCCGTTCACAAGCCTGCGTTCTTGTCCAGTCTCACTGACTCGACTCCAGTTCAGGGCTGTGTTGCTTAATCACGTTGGGTCTTGGTTTCAGTGAAATGGGAGCGCAACCGTACTCAGAAATCACACTGATGTCTTAACATTTCCTTAATCTTGCTTTGAATAATTGTAGGTTTCCTCATGATACGTGTTCTCATTCTTTTTGGGGGGGGATCCCATAGTAGCATAGTGTATCTAGAGTGCCTTTAATGAGACAGGTTCTGCTTTGTTGTTACTTTCCTGTCATATTGTGGTTTTCTTTTAGATTATCATATATTCTGGTGACAAAATTTATGACGACTACTATCAAGATCTAAAAGGACGAGTGCATTTTACAAGCAGCGATGTCAAATCTGGTGATGCATCAATAAATGTAACGAATTTACAGTTGTCGGATATCGGCACATACCAGTGCAAAGTGAAAAAAGCCCCTGGGGTTGGAAATAAGAAGATTCAGCTGGCAGTTCTTGGTAAGTTATTTTCATTAATGTTACTTATTAACAGGGTGAGTGGTCACAGTAGGATAGCAGCAGCATCCTACTGTGAGACAAAGCTTCTTTTTTTAGAGTAATAATTTTAAACATTTGAAGTAATTCTGTATTTTAAATAACATTTAAAACATAAAGCTAGCAGACTTTTGGGGGGTAGACAACATAAGTGAACAGCTTATTTGCGAAGTGGATAAAAGAGTTTGAAAGTAAATGAGGAGGTTCTGTGATACGGGAGAAGAGCCCCAAGCCAGGAGTTAGGGGATCCAGGTTTTGTTTCTCTTTTTGTTTTTTGTGTTGTCCTGAGATTTGTCCTGAGAATTCAAGAGCATCTTCATCTCCTGGGCTTCAGCCTGCCTTTGTGAAACACTGCAAGATGTAATTATCATTAAATCTATACTTGATCTCATTCAGTTCAAAATTGTTATGTGTACCAAAAACTTCTTCAAACTGCATTACCCAAAGAACAGGTGAGGTTTCTGTGATGACTACTTGGAGTACTATAATGGGGAGGTGGAGTGTGGGAGAAGGAGTGTTGAATGGGGTAAGACCCCTGCACCTCGGAGTCATTTCTCCTCCATGAGCATCACAGTCTTTCGTCCTGAAAGTAAGGGGATTTGCCACATGGTCACTGGATGGATATCCTGTGGCCCTCTCTGGGAGATAAGTGTAAAGATTCTGTAAACTCTCAAAAACTGGAAAGTTTATTACCCCTCTCTGAGTTCAAGACAGGTGTCCCCCATACCAACTTCTCCCTCGTTCCTTCTGTTTTAGAGAACTAATTAGGGGGGTTCAGCATATTGGGCTCCAGACTCATCTGGAACATCACTGTCTTCTAAAGAATGACTGTCAGCGCAGGAACAAGAGTACCCATTTCTGTGCGCTCCGGCGGCAACTGGATTGTCAGGGGTTGTCTTGGTTAGAAAGGTGGTCTTCCGCTGGCAGCATCCTTAGTGAGCACACGAGGGGGTCCTGGTAAAGGTACTTCATTCTAAATGGCACCCATCCAAAATACGTCCTGTGGTGTGAAAGCAAGTGGACCTGAACAAGAAACCAGGAAAAGGAATATTGTAATATTGAAGATTCTAGCTTTCTGTGTCTACACTCAGTAAGCATGGAGTTACCTTTCTTCTTTATAAATGTGAAGGCAGCTACAAGTTTAATAAGTTGTCTGAACTCATGTCTCAGACCCAGGCAAACCTGGGATTATAACCCTGAGTATATATCTTCTTTTAACACTGGTCTCCAGAAAGCACTGAGTTAAGATATGGTATTTTAACTGGTTCATGATGTACCAAAGTATACCAGTTTAATCAGAATATCAGAATTTTTTATTGTGAAATCCCCTTTTGATGGGGCAGGGATACTGCAAGGGATATGATTGGCACATATTCCCAGAAGGGGTATAAACAAGCTGATTGTGTGTGTGTGTGTGTGTGTGTGTGTGTGTGTGAGAGAGAGAGAGAGAGAGAGAGAGAGAGAGAGAGAGAGAGAGAATGAGAGAGAGAAAGAGTGATTGGTTCTGTAAGACCAGGTTCTGGATTGAATTCACAGGTTTCCACTGAAGGGATCATTATAGCACGAGGCTGCACATGACCCAGAAGGAACCAGGTTGGACAATGGTGTGGCCAAGCACACTGGTGGCAGCAGCCGTGACTGCTGGGCAGGAAGAATGGGTCTTTCACATGAAACGTCGCAACCCCAACATTTAATTCCTCAGAATGGATCAGTGGGAAGCACTGACTCAGTGACATCTTTTGTTAACTCTGTGGGGAGTCACCATGGCCAGGTAAACCCTGGTTTCAAACCAGACGGGGGACAGAGAAGGTTAAATGAGGGCAAGAAGAGAAAGCAGGAAGTTCCTGCTAAGAGCAGTGGAGATGACTAATACTCAAGAGTTAGAACAAACTTCTTGTAGCACTCTCTTCCCTGTTTTCACATGAGTCACACTATTGGAGAAACTACTGGAAGTTTCTCTTGAAAGTCACACTTGGACGGAAGCTTGTCTCAGCTTTTCCTGAAAATTCTGCTTAGGCAATCTGTGTGTGGGGGCGGGGAGGGGGCGCAAAATGAAGTCCCTCCAGTGGAGCTCTTGCTCGGTTCCCTGTTAGAGGCTCTGCATGAACTTCGGTGTGTTTGTGGGAAATCTGGAGGAGATGCCTCCACGCTGTTTGCAGAGTAATGAGTCATGGAGCCCCGTGCGCTGTTGTGGCCGTGAACCGAGGGTGACCTTGAGCTGCCTGGGAGTGAGGTGTGACCTGTTGCCACAGCATGCTCCACTCCCAGAGCCATCCCTGCTCTGTCAGGTGCCCCAGACATGCATGTGGATGCAGCTCAATAGAGAAGCTGAATGGGGGTGATGGTAACAAAGAGAGTTAACAGAGAACCCGCAGTAGTAGCCAGTACTGTGACCACACCAGAGTCTTTCGCCACAGCTCTGAAAGGGCCTATTCCTGACACCCTTTGGTATAAACAGGCTGGGTTGTTCAAAGAGTAGGGCATTCCTAGCAAATGGTTTCTGGGATGTGGACGGTGCTCTCAGACGGTACCCACACCACAGGACACGGGGTGCTGGCACGTGTGGGCGCTCAGTCAGCCCTGGCCCTCGGAAGCCAGTAGTATAGGGCGGGGCTTTTTATTCTGAAACAGTTTGAGTTATACAGGAAGTCCCAAAACTGGAGAGTTCCTGAGAGTGTACCCATCATCTGATTTCTCCTAATAGTAACATTTTACAGAAGTATAGTAAAGTGATCAAAACCAAGGAATTAATTTTGGGACAATACTATTAACTACAGTATAGATCTAGTTTGAGTTTCACAGTTTTCCACTCACGTCCTTTTGTGCTAGGGTCAAGTCTAGTATCCACATTGCATTTACGTCTCCTTAGTCTCCTCCACTCATGTCAAGGGACACGTGATGTCGCATCTCCTTGTTAATCATGATCGCTTGGTTTGTGTTTTATCTGATGGGTTAGTCCACTGCCAGCTTACAATTTTCCCTTCTGTAATTAAGAAAACTATTGTGGGGAACCACTTTGAGAACATACAGATATCTTGTTTCTCCTCAAACTTTGCCCATTGATTTTTAGCATCCATGCATGGAGTTTGCCTGGAGTCAGGGTGTTTTGAACCAAGCAAAGTTAGCACTCTTAGACAAGTGACACAATGATAAAAGTGCACAGGGTGGAGTGAAAGTAGGTTTACCGTTCACATGGAAAATAATACAATAAATAATGCAAGAATGAACTCTGTGTTTTGTGTACTCACAACTGTACACCTGCTTTGCCCCACCCTGTATATCCTGTTCCATACAGGGACTGAGGGTGTGTTTTCTGTAGGCTGAGGCAGGCCACCAACATGGAGGGGTAATGATGCAATATATATATCACAGCATTACTACATTGGTGGGCCGTTGGCCAGGTACAAGTTGATGGTCAGATACCCTTCCCTGAGAAGAACTATTATCTAAGCTAGTGATCATGGAGAAAGATGTTCTGTGGACAATGACCAGGTATCCTGGAACACCAAATGAAAGAAACATTAGGGGATAAAACTTTATTACATTCCTTTGTGGTTTTATTTCTTTCATTCCAGCCAAATGCTGTGGATGAAGAGTGGATCTTTCTTGTAGCATTATGGTTGGGGTTGGAAAGCAGGGGGGCTACCCCCAGGCAACACTCAGAAACCATTGTTGGTAAAGTCTTGTTCTATTTGTGGATGGAGTAGGTTGCAGTTTCAGACTCAGTGGGGCCTTGCGTTTCCCAAGCAGTCAGTTCAGGTAACTGCTCACTGTTGGATGTGTTTGGTGTATGGGAAAGGGTACCTTTAATAGGAGAGGTGAGGGTTAGGGTTAATACGCTGTATCACCAGTAGATACTTGATGTACAAAGCAATGCTTTCATGTCTCACTGCTAGTTTACATAATAAAGGATTTATTGGTAGTTTTTAGAAATGAAGTACAAAGTTCATTTTGTTGAAGATTCACAGGATGAAATAATTCACAAAACCAATTTAAATGTCCAATTCATGTAGTCTCCAGGGTAACCGATCAATCTAAAAAAGAGACAGATTTGCTTAGGAAATCAACAATGCAATTAAATGCATTTGTTGATCCTTAGGAAAAAGTGCAAGTAGTAACAGATGAAGGGGAGAAACACCATCAGATTGAAGAATTATCAAGAAGTGGGAGAAGAGATGAGATCATGACTCACACCCATGGTTAAAGACGCCCCACTGGATATGATAGCCTCTGTTGGCCAGATTTGGAAAACAGTTTCTTTTAGAGCTAAACATACACATACCATAAATGACTCAGCAATTACTGCGAAAAGGAAGACATTCCAGGATTCACATGAGTGTTCAAGCAGTGTTGTTCATAATTATGTAAAACTGCAAAACCCATTCACATTTTTTCCTAGTAGTGAAAGAAAGAGTAAAAGCCCATCCAGGACTGAAAAGAATGAAAAGAAGTTCAGACTAAAAAAGAAAAAAAAACAGTCCTGCCATTTATTAGGCTGTGAGGACAGATAGATACAGATACAGATACAGATAGATACAGATACAGCCAGCGTTGGAGTGTAGAGGGGACATGGTTTCTGCCAAGGTCGTGGAGCTGTGGTAAACCACAGCTGCAGGCAGATTACTGCTGTCTCCCCAGACCACCTTGCACTGCCCATCCCACACTGAGGAGGGTACGCAGTTGCTCAGTGTGGCCTTCGTCACCAGTTCTCCTAATCCAGCCTCAGAAATAGCATCGGATTCAGAACCAATCTCTGCTTCTTTTAGAGTCTCCTAGAATCCTTCAGAACCCCTCCTCTCTCGCTCCAGTGACACCCCACAGCTCCCAATAGTGCCTTCCTCACTGGTTAGTGAGTCTGGTTTGACAGACTACACACCTGCTCCTGGTCAGCTCAGTGAATCAGGCCCAAAGGTTGGAATCAGTGTTCACCGACAGATGAATAGATAGCTCAATTTACGTTGCAGTCCATGGAATACAACTCAGCAGTGAAAAAGAATGGACTTTTGAAAGAGACCACATGAATTTCTAAAGCCTTACAATGAATAAAGGAAGCAAGACAAAAGCAGTACTGTATTACTCCACTTCCACGACTCTAGAAGCAGCAGAACTAATCTGTGATGCTGAAAATCCCATGGGTGGCTCCTGGGGCCAGGGTTGTGGCTGAGGTAACTGCACCCAGCACGAGGGTGGCTTACGGGAGGATTGGGGTGGTGCTTAACGGGGCAGGGAGTGGGGTGTACGTGCATGCACACACACATTTGTCAAACACGATCAACTTACACTATTAAAATGTGTTAATTTTATTGTGTGTATATTATGCTTTAATCAAGTTCAGTAAGAGTACGAAATGCCAAGGTGTTAATCCAGTGTTGGGGTGAATTTCAGGCAATGGGGTTAACAGCTTCTCTAAACAGTGACCCAGAGAGACCTGGAATACAGCCTCAGATTTACGCTTTTGTAACACTGCTCTCTGGATGGTTTGGGGTTAATGTAATTGTGGAACATTAATTGGTCCTTAATTTCACCAAGTGAATTGTCCCTGTTAGCAGCATTATTCATTATGAATCCCCTGATGGGCACGGTAATGGCACCAGAGGGACGTGACGTGGCACATACTCCCATGTCAGGCACGGAGCACAGGGACCGGTTAGGAATGGAGGGGAAGAGGCTTGCTTGCTTTCCAGCGTGCCCATGGAATCAAGGGGCACAGAGACGCACCTGAGACCCTGCCGTTCCTCCCCGTGCCGTGGCTGCTCGCCTGAGCCCAGTCTTGCCTGTTTTGTGTTGGACAAAGCTGAGAAACTGTTGTTGACACCCTGCTGTAGTCTTTCGGTCTTCCCGGCTCTGAGCCTGGAACACGTGGTGACGAGTCAGGGGTCGGGCAGCATGCTCCGTGTTTAAGTAATCCTTGTAAACATGAAGTCCATTCTTTTGTGTAAAGTTATCATTTCTTTTCTCAGTTAAGCCTTCGGGTACAAGATGTTACGTTGATGGATCAGAAGAAATTGGAAATGACTTTAAACTGAAATGTGAACCCAAGGAAGGCTCACTTCCGTTACTGTATGAATGGCAAAAATTGTCCAACTCACAGAAACTGCCCCCAGCATTGATAACAGGTACCTCTGATGAGACAGTTCATACAATGTGCTGTTGATTTGAACTTAAACCTAATTGCTGGGGGGAGGGTGAATATATATATATATATATATATATTCCCCAAATATATATATATATATATATATATTCCCCAAATATATATATATATATATATATATATATATATATATATATATATATATATTTAATCCCCAAATACTTTCCCCTTTCTGTACAGAGCAATCAGGATTCTGTGGAAATTATTCAGTGTTTTATAATGACAATTTACTCTCATGTAGTATAAATAGATATATTTTTATAACAGTTTCACCGTTTTGGATATTATAATTGGTTCCTTTGGAATACATATATTTAATTGATGGCAATACTGACAGAAAATGTTCATGATTATTACTTAATGACTAAATTGTAGCAAGTGTTTCATGAGCCTAGATTCATGTTGAAGGTACTATAATTTACCCATGGTGTGTTTGTTAAAACAAAACAAAAACATCTCAAAAACACCTCTGTGACATTAACTAGAAAGTTACAAATTGGTTAAATCTGATTGCTCACTGTTATAACTGACCTGTTATGCAAACTGATCTACACTCTCCCCACCCTGGCTAGGTAGGATTTCTCTCAGCCTGTTTCTTTTTTTAAATTAGGAGACAAACCATATGACCCCTTCTGACTTTTTTCATGTATTTCTTTCCTCTTGGGGGTGGATGAGATGGCTTTTGCAAATCTTCCCACTGCACCAAAGAGCCTTTGTGGCACGGGATATTTTTTGTAATCAATATGGCTCTGCTTCAGCTGCGACTCTATGCGTGGAGAGGGAGGGCGTGTTTATTTTTGCCTTGATGCGAATGAACTGGAGGCACAGTCGCTTGCATTCTGGAGACACGCGTGCGTCTGCCTGGCAGCTTGTTCTGCACCCGGCTTCAGCCACTGTCCCTTTTGCTGGATTGTCAGATTTCATGGGGTTTGCCTTTACTGAGAACTCAGCTATCCTGTAAAAACGGGTTTTGCTGTGCCCCACCTTTCTTTTCACAGAAATGACGTCACCGGTCATATCGGTCAAAAACGCCACTACCGAGTACTCCGGGGTGTACAGTTGTACGGTCCGCAACAGAGTGGGCTCTGATCAGTGCGAGCTGCGCCTGGACGTTGTGCCTCGTAAGTACCTTCTTACTGTTCGTTGTGATAATGTTCGTTTCCCTTCTCTTTATATAGCGCCCTTTGATTCAGTCAGCAAGGCTATATAATGAGGACAAGTGGGTGCAGATTGTGAGCAAAGCACTTTATGGTTTGGTTATTAGCTTTCCTAAGTCACAGAAGGAAAAATTACATTTTATGAATGAAACCTCCATTATTGTAGCGCCATTAAGAAGATGAGTTGTCAAATCAACTCTTATACTGTGTTTTGCCATTATATTAATAAGTACAAACTATTTAGAACATTCTTATATGCCAACTCAGACAGCTGAGAATAGTAAAGTCTTTTAATCTGGTTTGATCGCATTTATGCTTGAAATGGATTCTACAGTTCAAAAGAAAGTTCTTTAGTGGATTTTTCCCCTTGGACCAAAATCTAATTAATTTGTCCTTAAAGTTAATATGTGGAATGAAATCGGTCTATCAATGTGTATCCTTACCTTCAATATGACTAAATATGTTTTCTTACCATTATTTCCTTATGAACATATTATTCTAGCCTCAAATAAAGCTGGGACAATTGCAGGAGCTATTATAGGAACTTTGCTTGCGCTAGCGATCATCGGTCTGATCGTCTTTTGCTGTCGTAAAAAGCACAGAGAAAAAAAATATGAAAAGGAAGTTCATCATGATATCAGGTAATTAAGTGACACAAGAGTTGACTGATGTATGCTAAGTTCATTATATCTGAAGGAATTAGTTCTCTTAACCATCCCAAGCGTGCACTCCTGTGAGAATTGGATAAAAGCTATAGCTCTTCCCCTCAACACATTTGAGAACTTTTACTTCCAATTTCAAGTATGTAGATCCAGCCAACCTCCACTGTGCCCTTGCCAAGCCCCTTTCCAATTCTGGACCCTATTTTAATAACTACTGCAAAATGGTTTATCTCACAACTATCTTCCCCAAATACAGTGCAGATATGAAGTTTTCAAAAATAAAAAAATGAACAAGATGTTGACATTTTTAAAAAAGACCTGATTGTGCCCTGGCTGGTGTGGCTCTGTTAGTTGGAGCATCAGCCTATAAAGCAGAAGGTCATTGATTCAGTTCCGGTCAGAAAACATGCTGGGTTTCGGGTTTGGTCCCTGGTCCCTGGTCGGGGCACATACTAGAGGCAGCTGATTGATGTTTCTCTCCCACACTGATGTTTGTCTTCCTTTTTTCCTTCCTTCCCTTATCACTAAAATCAATAATATGCCCTCTGGTGAGGATTTAAAAAAAAAAAAAAAAAAGACCTGATTGTATCAAGTGACATAAGTAGTATTTTTTTTAACATTCTAAACCAGTAGATCTTAACCACAAGTGGATGTTGGATTATAGAACTTCAAAAAATAACAACATATGACTTAAGTAACACCCAGGAATTGACATTTGGTAGATATGGGGTGCGGTCTGGGCTTTTGTATTTTTAAATGGCACCAGAGGTAACTCAGGTGTATATTCTTTGTCAGTCCATGGTGTAAAAATTCTTATGCCTGAATTCCCATTTACTACAGACTTGAATCTTCTGGGTATCAGCTAAGGTCTTAGATAATTAACTTGCATAACAGGGATTTTTTTTCTTTTTTTGGTAGAAATATGTCTAGGTATTAGTGCTTTATCAACTATAAAATGTTATATGACTCTAATTATATTACTTTGAGTAGTTGTACTGGAATATGAAAATATTTGAGGTTTGTTCCTTGCAAGACAACATAATGGAATCATAAATATTGTAAAAACCACCTTTTAATACTCATGAAGACAGGTACTCTGCAAATGATAACTTTGGGAGCGATACACAGTCGGTGACATTGTGTTTTGTCGCTCTTGCCTTTTTGTGTACCACACACACTTTTATATCCTTAACACTTAAATAGCCTCCACCCATGAGTCATGAGTTACTAAATTCTAGGTTCCTAGAAACCTATTCCTGGAGCTTTCATTGGGATCTTTGCTTTCTAGGGAAGACGTGCCTCCTCCCAAGAGCCGGACGTCCACTGCCAGAAGCTACATGGGCAGCAACCACTCATCCCTGGGGTCCATGTCTCCTTCCAACATGGAAGGCTATTCCAAGACTCAGTATAACCAAGTACCAAGCGAAGATTTTGACCGCGCTCCTCAGAGCCCGACTCTCCCACCTGCTAAGGTAGCTGCCCCTAATCTCAGTAGGATGGGAGCGGTGCCTGTGATGATTCCAGCACAGAGCAAGGACGGGTCGATAGTATAGCACCTCTGTGCCTTCCGTCTCTGTGCTCCATGCCGCTCTTCTCCTTTCAACATAGGAAAACCTGTTCTGTTCCAAATGTCGCTACCAGCCTCAGTAGATCAAAAAGTGAACCAGAAACTGCAGGAAATACCTTTCAAAAAGTTTTGTGTGGTTATATCAAAATAGTAAAGGCATGAAAGCTACTAAAGACAAATTTGCCATCTGAAAAAGATTTCCTTTAAGAGATTGACTTTGTAGGTTTCTAAATATCAATGGTTAGTAAGATGTAGCACTTTGGATATGAAATCATAGAGGAAGAAATTGGTGAACTTTCGTGCACACCAAGTTGATACTTGAATCATCTGAAAGTAGTGCTTTATTATTTCTACCATTATTTTTAGGATCCCTTTCTCAATTTATGACTGAAAATTGGTAAAGATAGTTCATGACAAAAACTCTTATATACCTTTATGTTTGTTCTTGTTTTTATAGCTTCTTGGAAAACTCTAAAGATGTTTGAAATAGCTCTAATAACATAAAAAAACACTACAGTGTTCTAGAAATGACTAGTTTACTTTTCAAGTCATTCATCGCCCTTGTTTATGAAATGACTTGTTAAGTATTTGATTGATAGACTGCTTCAGGCAACAGAGATGTAGTGAGCTCTTTTATATGCTAAAACAAAGGAGTGTCTTCGAATTTATTTAGAAAATTTGCTGTCAGCTACACAGAGCAGTGACACTAGGAGTTCAATAGCAAGGATGGATTTCGGGGATGAGTGATCAATACCTGAAGGTTTGTGGTCAGAATGGTGACCAGCCAGATCAAGGACGGAGTATTTTGCAGCTCCCAAATTAAGTGCTGGTTCTCTGCTTTAGGTCATATTTTTCTAATAAGAAAAAATTATAACTCATTTATTGTTTGACAGGTAACAGGTTGAAATTCCCTAATTATTGGTTCCAAATTTTAAAAGGTTTTTACTGGTTCGGCATTTTGTTGCTGTTTTTGGATGGTGTTGCATGTTATATGTTCTAGAAAAATGTAATTCCAAATTTGCCTTCCTGAATGCAGTTCCTGGAGGATGTTTTCTTCATAGACTTAGGACGACGAAAGACTTTTAGGCTAGTGTCCTCTGTCAGTTCTGTATTCCAGACGTGGAGGGTGTGCAGTTGCTATTGTGTGGCCAACATGTCTTTCTGTGGTTGCAGAAAATCAAGTTGAGCTTTGAAAAGTTTGAGTCTTAGTTTTGTGCAAGTGATTTATTCTTTAAGAAAAAAAAAGAAGGAAACGAAAGGAAAAGGAGTAAAAAGAATACTCCTAACTGCCAAATGTGTTAAATACTGTTTTAGTAGAAGAAAGTGAATTTATTGTATTTCCCTTAAGATTGTGAGGGAGTGTGGATATAGTAGCATGAGCCAACAATTTCTTTGTAGTAAATGAGGTCTGCAATAAATTATTTCACTAGCTCTAAAAGCCTTTCCCTAGATTTTTTAGGGATTTGGTTTCTGTTCATCTTTTTGGGTGCTGTGGTGGCTCATGCTGTATTATAAATTAATGTTGGCATGAATTTATGGCTAGGAAGAGTATTATGTACATTTTTAATGGTAAATTTAAGCTGAATGCCTGTGTAATGGATTAGTGTATAGTTTTACATATACGGAAGCATTTTTTTAAATAGATTTTAGCCTTACGTAATATTGGTTTTCTACTTGGTGTTAACGTTTTCATTTGTGCCTTTTGGGTAATTTAATTTTTATTATGAATTTCTGGTGCCTATGAGCTAGCTATCACCTAAGAGGTGCTTAGAGGTGAAGGTACTGTTCCTAAAAGCGCATCACTGTGACACCTTTCTGTCCTCACACTTTGTTTGCCTCCCCGTTTCCGTTCTTCCTGGATGCAAGTTAACAGATCGTGTTATTTACAAGGATTTTAAAATTTCAACCCCCCCAACACTCTTTTACTGTGTTTCTGATTTTATAACAGTAACTATTTTTGCACTCCAGATGACTGGTCTGTTTTGTACAAATAAATTTATATAATAGTGTAAGAAATAACAGCACAAACTTTCATAAACAACTTTTGGCCTTTTCTATTAGTTTTCATGTAATGAAGATTGTGCTATCAATGTAAGTAGAAATTACTACAAAAAAAAATGGACATATGTACGGCTTCCCTGGCCTTAGATTTCATAGTTGGTCTAGGATTTAGCTATAAGTATGTCAGATTCTCTTCCAGAAGCGCTTTTAGTTCAGGTCCATACTGGCTATACCCTGAGAAATATGCTTGTAAAAACCAGTTATGGAACCTGAAGAGACCTACTGGGCATGATGAAGTTTAAAGGACAGAATTAAGTTTTAAACTATGTCTTCAGCTACTCTCATTGTAAATTTCAGTTAATCCAAAAGTCAGAGAGTTCTGATTGACTTCTTAAGTAATTCTCACTGATATTTTCAGTTGAACCGGAGATCAAATATTTGTTCTAGAATTGTGACCAGTAATCAAGTGACTCAACAAAAATTGTTATTCAAGCATTTCCGTTAGAGTTTAACATCATCAGTCAAGGGTGACACTGCATCGTTGAGGCAGCCTAAGAGATTCGACAGCATCTTGTTGAGTCACACAAGATAACTTGAAGTGATACCATAAAAGATGTAGTTCTGTGCTTTGAATGTATAGTTTGCAGGTATTCATTTTCTTATTGGCAACTTTACCTAATATTCTCATTAGAAGGAAAACTCAAAACAAAACAAAACCCTTCCATGGAGTTGTTACAATGAAAACACAGCCAAAGTGTGTCTTAGGGGGAGGTTAATGAAACACAATTAGATTATTGGTATGAATTAATGTCTGATTTTTATTAAAATGATCATTTTCAAGATTGAGTATTGTAAATTAGGAGTAAGTGAAGGGGCAAGTCAACATCTTGATTAAATATAAAAAGAACTCATTGCATGAAGTTGGATATCAAATTCTATAACGTATGGCTTTTTAAAATAACCATTCTCTGTCTCTTTCTGTGAGTGCAGCATGTAAATTTGAAGTTATATAAAAGTGTAAAGTTTTTCCTGATTTCTTTTCATCTCCACAGTGTTTAGGGCCTTCAGATGCCTTATTCCAGTGTGAACAGAAAAAGTCCATATCATGTGGTTAATGCTTTGATGTGTCTGTTATGTGAGGAGTAGTTTGCAGAAAATGTTGGCACCATTTTTACTCTTAGTGACTTGTGATGTTATATTATTATATATATATATATGTACATAAATCTTTGTAATATTCTGTGGTTAGTATAAATGTTCTGGGCAAGTTTTAATATTTCAAATGCCTTTCAAATGCCTTTGGATATTCTTGCAATAAAGGCAACATGTTCTGCAGTTGGATTTTTTGTTGTTTGCCTGTTCTGGCACTAAAATATGGTCCATAACTGAACACAAGTTCTACTGATTAATGTTATAGAAGCAGGGAAGAATAACAAATTTGTGAATTGCAGTTCTGTGTACCTTATGGATAGTAACACCAGCAAGTATTTGATCTTATGGATAGTAACACCAGCAAATATTTGCTGCCTCTGGCTTCTCACTGTGAATTAAAATCAAGTTTTACAAAATAGCCTGTTCTGTAATTTAAGAGTGTGGAGAATATCTCTTGGGTTTGCTTTGTTCAAGAACACTAAAATCTCCAATCAAGGAAGACTTGGTGTTTTCTACTTTGAATAACACAAGCATTAAGAGAACCACAATTCACTGATGCACTTATTCTCATCCCTAACTGTGAATTTTTGTAATAAATACACTTGTACTACTGAGAAAAATATTTTGACACTTCATATATGCAAGTAGAGAATTGATAGTGTCAGTATCAAAAATGCTTTTTGTATTTAAAGTTTCTGGCTTAAATATCCAATGGTGCAGCAGATTTTGAAATTTGTAAGAACAAAATTTGGTTAAAAAAGCAAGAACTTGCTCTAGTTTTGTGACCTTGTGTACTTTTAAAATAAAATCAAGAAAGTAGTTCTCTGCCTCATGGTGTGGCTTCATTGTGCCTTTAAGAAGATGTCTACTTTATCAAGCTTCAGTTTCACCTTCCTCCCTGTTTCCTGAGCCCAGGTTTTCTCCCCCCGCCACCCCCTGAATCCTTTATTAAACAGAATGAAGGTCAGAACAATCACACATCAATGGAAACATGTGAAACATACATATATGTTTCCCCACTCTGCAGGTACATGACCATACATGACATAATATTTGGGGTTGAAACTCCAAAGTTTGGTGATCATTTCACAGTGTTTTACAGTGCAAAGTCAAAGCAGTATTCAGCTGCATTTGAAAATGTTCATGCATATATGTACTAAACATATCTGGTTCTGGTTTAAAGCTACTTTCATTGACTTTAAACATCGATTTCAGAAAAAAACAGGATGGATAGTAATGAGTGTGAGAAGACGTTGTTAGGAATATTTTGTTTGTACAATACTATAGTTTCTCAATATTTTGGGCTGAATAGTTCTTTGTTGTAGGGGACTGTCCTGTGCATTATAGGTTGTTTAGTACCATTCCTGGTCTCTACCTACTAGGGACCAGCGGCCTTGTCCCCCCCCAACCCCCACAGATATGACAACCAAAAGTGTCTCCAGATGTTTCCTAACGTCCACTGGGGTAGAGGGCAAAATCCCCTCACCCCCCAGGTTTAGAACAACTGGTTTGTACTAACCTTAGATACTCTACTCAGAGATTAAAATGAGAAGAGCATAGGCCTTGGAGTCAGACGTGTTTGAACACCATTCTTTGCTAGACACTTTACTTAGCTTTGATTTCCTAGTTCTTAAAATAGGGATAAAAATACCTACATCATGGGATGTTGGAAGATTTTAAAGAAATAAAATTGATATAATGAAAAGTCTTTGCATTTGTTCCTGGTAGACAGGATGCTGAAAATAATACACAGATTTTCAAGGAACCAAGATTACAATAAAATATACTAAGTTAAGCTACTGAGTATAATTTATTGCCTTTAAATTTAGACCATATTTTAATCTTGCAGTTCTAAAAGCCAGATCATATTTCTGGTTAATTAAATACCAAGTAGCAAAACCAATGTAATTGAAACAAAACCGTATGTAAAGTAATTTGTTATTAAATAAGTGGTTTAGTTTTAAGGCTTCAGGCATAATCAAGTATAATTTCTAAATGTAATAAGGGCAACAGAGAAAGATTCAGAAAGCAGTCCTAAGAACTCAGCTCAGTTTTCCTTGCTGGTATTTCTGAAGTATAAATCAAATGATTTGTTAAATGATTTTCTTCTATGTTTGATAACTATAGGAGAAAAAAGTCATCCTAGGGTAACTACAGAAAAAAAAAGAATTTCATGAGTTAATGAAGAACTGAGAAATTTCAGTCTAGTTAATCAAGGACTAGCTCTTTGATCAGTGTGCTTCTCATTTCACTGCTGAGCTGTAAAAATTCTGACTCTAATGAAGAATGAGGGAGGTGGTAGAAGATCCAGGAAATACTCAAGTAAAAGCCTAATGCCGGTCTCCAACAGGATCCTAAAAGCCATCATGTTCTTTTCTTGCCCTGAGTCATTGTCCCCAGTCCTAGTGGACTGGTTGTCTTAAAATGTAAATAAAAACATGTTAAAATCCAGATCATCCTAATCTGACACAAAAGGTATCTCATGGTCCATTCCATTTCTCTCCAGTTTGTTTTCCCCACACCTCCAGGTGCAGCTCTACGCTCTGGGGCTTCATGGGTTGTGCACTTGCAACTTCCTCAACCAGACAGCAGCCCCTCCGTGTTTACCTTCCCAGGGCATGTTTGCCCTACAAGTTCAGACAATTCCAAATCCACTCTCCTTTAAGTCATTGTTTCTGATTCGTACCCATGCCCTCCATTCACATGCCAATTTAGGGGTGTGTCTGAGCCCTTAACATTGCTAGTACAGGTCTCTTATGTATTTATTCTAATTACTTAACACATTTAATCTATCTCCTTTATGAGTTTGAACCGAGTTTATTCACTTTTATCTCTAGTTCCTAACTCTGATATATTATAGCTCAGAAAATACTGAATGGATTTTTAGAAAAGAAATGGCATTAGGGGGCAAGAATGCATTCAATAAGTTCACATCATATGGTCCGTAAGACACCTGGTCTGGTTTCCCCCCCGAAGGCAGTATCGAGAGAGAGAAAGTGAGGGTGAGTACACGTGGTGACCAAGTCTGCCCGTGGCTTGAAAAGTGAACTTGCACAAATACAGAATGGGGTGAGCTGACTCAACAGGAGCCAACTTAAAAACAGGAAAAAAAACGAATGATGAAAACTTGAGAAAGTGGAAGAACATTTTAGAAAGAAGTTTCTAAAACCCTTCCTAGATTCTGAGGAGGTCTGGAGTGAAGCCAGTGGCCGTTTCTCTCCCAGCCTTTCACAGCCGGCCCTTCACTGCCATGCTTCGGCGTGCACCTCCAGTTTTTTCCTTTGAAAAAATAAGGTTTTAGACACTTGTTTTTTAATTGAACATATCCTCTGAGATTGTTCTACATCTGTGTTATCTATTTTCTGTTATCTGTACATCTATCTACCTATCTTACTTGTTTTTAAAACTGTAATGTTTACATCAGAGAGATGACATTGTAACTCATTTAACCAGCCTCCAATTGATGGCCATTTAAATTGATCCCATCTTTTTGATGCAGTGAATAAAATTTTACAAGCAGTATGTTTGTCCAATGTATACATCATTATGTATGTGTGTAAATATATCTTTAAGGTAAATTTCTAGGAGGGGTGTTGAGTACAGAGTAGTTTGGTAACTATTATTAAAGTAGCTTTGTCAGTGTTGTAGCAGCTGATGCTAGCAATGGATGAGAGCGCTGGTCTCTCCCCAGTCCTCACCAATACTCTTACCCAACGTTTTGATCTTGCCCGATCTCCAAGAAGAAAATTATCTTATGGTTTAAAATACTGTTACTTGTTTAGTTGAGCATCTAATGTTTAAAAACCATTTGAGAACTATGTTCCTATGATTCGCCCATTTTTCTTTTATATACTGTTAAATTGGAGCTCTTAAATATATTAAAAGTAGCCCTGTGTGATATGAAAACTTTTTTTGCTAGGTTATCCTTTTCCTTTGACTTTGCTTTTGGTCTTATCCTTCTGACCATGAAATCCTAATTCTTCCTAAACTGTCATATTGGTTCAACCCGACTTCTCCCTCCTTGAAATTATACCCTCAAAGAGAGATGAGGATCGCCTACCTATCTTTTCATGTATCTGTTTCCTTTCTCTAAGCAGATGTGTTTCCTCAAAGGTGGAGGGAGCGTGTTCACACTTAAATCTTCCAGTCATGCCCTGGCCAGTGTGGCTCAGTTAGATGGAGTGTCGTCCCATAAACTGAAAGTTTGCAGGTTTGATTCCCAGAGCACATACCCAGGTTGTGGGTTATTACCCCAGCTGGGGCGCTTGTGAGAGGCAACCAATCAATCTCTCTCTCCCCCTCCCTCCCCCCTCCCTCCCTCCTTTCTCTGAAAACAATGAAAAGAAGTGTCCTCAGGTAAGGCATGAATGCATGAATGAATGAATGAATGAATGAATAAGTAAATAAATAAAGTTCGGCATGTAATAGATTCTCAGTAGTCTTTCCTGATGATTTGCAGCAGTTCTGGCTACGCTCCTGTCAAGCCATCGCCACGTGTATTCCCGTCACTGTGTGTTCCTTAATTTATCTTTTGTTTCTTCAAGTTCCTGGAGTTTTTGCCTAAAGCAGTTTTATGAAATCAGCACAAACTGAACTAATGAAGAAAATTAGATATCTTGCACTTGAAAAGATGTGTCTAGGTCATGGGTTAGGCCAGCTGTCACACTCCGTTTCAAGTTGAATGTTGGCTACCAGCAGTGTGCTCTTTTGATGTTGCTAAGTAGGACGTTTTCTTCTCACGTACCACAGAACTGTCAACAATGAGAACATTTCTAGGGGAACAGTAGAACGACCTGGCAGTGCTGAGAGGAGACAGTAGGATAGATAGAAAAAGAAGACTTGCAACCAGTCAGAAAATCATAGTCCTCCAGCATCAGCCTCCACCAGTCGTTCCATCTGGTGACAAGGAAGGGGCATTTTCCTTGTTCACAGAAATAACAAAACACAAAGTAAAATAATCCTGTGAAAAGAAACATGATCTCTGCCCAACCAACTAACAGATACTGTCTGCTGTGTCCAGGGCAAAGTAAAGACGCAGCCCTAACAGGGCTTTATGAACATGTTTATGTGCCTTCAGTTTAAACTTTTCGTAGTAAGAGCAAAATATTTGTGATGTAGTTAAGAATATTGATATAGTTCAAATTTTGTAAAAACATCCTCCCCCAAAAAACATCCATAGGCTATAGTATCTAGTTCAATATCACTGTATGAAAAAAATCAAGGTTCATAAAGGTTTTGCTTTTTCAAGGCCATAGTTAGGAACAAAATCCAAGTCTCCTGATTCCTGGTCCATTGTTTTTTCTAGGGGTCTTGAGTCCTTGGCAGTCCCAGCCCTGAGAGAACTATATGAAAGGAAAGAAGAGAAGAGTTAGAGTGTATGGCTCTCTCTGACTGCTCACTCCAACACTCCCTCCCTGCAACACTAGCCTGGGAAAAGGCCAGGGAAAGCAGAGCCGACTCTGGCCTAACCAGTGCCCTCTGCCCCCCGTGCAGAACTGGCTCACCCCTGCCGAATGCGCACGTAAGCATCCACAGCTGCACTCTTCTCGATGCTGTGGTGTCCCCAGCGGGTATATGATTGACAAGAGTCTGCTTTGTTTGGTACCAAGCCTGTTTATGCTTGTTGTGTTGCTGATTGCATAATTTGAGTAAATTGTACATAATTTGGGCAAAAGTAGTAGATATGGTGAAGATAACATATCTGAGGAAATGACTCTGCTGGCAATTGCTTTAAAAATATGTTGTTTTCACTCACTTCAAAGAAACCAAACTTTACATTAAGACTGATATAATATGGATGAAGTTTTATAAAGAAAGCAGGCACTCCTAGCACCAGGCCCATACTCTAAGAAAAATTATTTACATCAAAAATTTGGTGACTGAAAGTATACTGATAAATTTTAAACATTTTAAAATGTTTAAGGGATGTATAGTTTTTAATGGTTTTTCACTTAAACTTTTTTGATTGGCACTACTGTGTCAGGGAAGAGGGATTTTACTGTAAATCTGCATGTGAAATCCCTATCAAAGATCTGTATTTTAACTTTTTTTGTGTATTCCTTTCCAGATTTCACAGTATCAAGTATCACAACTAGTATTCAAAGTTATTTACCAAAAGATCTTAACTATCAATATCAGATTTTTAAGTATTGTCTTTTATCATTGGGGAACAGTAGAAAACATGAAACAGTGAGGTTTTACTTAGTAAATACTCAGATGACAAAAGTGAATTTTACATTTTTCATGTTCCAGTCCCTTTAGACAAAATTCAAACATTTTAAATATACTTTCAAGTTTAATCAGTAAATTTTGTTTCCTTAGAAGAAACATTTAATGGATGATCTATAAGATATGAAAACAATTGTTTTTTCCATTGAATTAAGTAAAACAAATAGCCAACTAATCACACTGGCTGTTTTCTGTTGAGTTTTACAGCTTTACTTATCAATTTGACTCTAAAAAATTTGTCGTCTATAATTTTCTATGTGTGATTTCAAAAAGTTGGCAGCTTTGTTATAAGATCAGTTTGCCTGTTTCTGAACTTGAATAATCCCTTCCCCCCACTCCATTCTCAACAAAGGTGGTATGGTATATATTTAGATATATGATTGAAAAGACATTTCCAAAACTGATCTGTAGCTTAATATCTAATGATAAAGATGGGTTAAATCAATTAAGGCACATATATATGAATACCATGAAACTATTAAAAATTGTGTCTAAAGAATCAGTGTCATAATTCAGTGTTTCACATTTTCAAATCATGTGACAGTAAAATGAATGTATTTCATCATGACAAAACAGTATGGGAGAATGTAAATTAAAAACTCCCTCTTTGAACATTCCCCGTCCACTAAAATATTAACAGTGGTTATCTTTGCTAAATGGACTATAGGTGATATGAAAGATCTTTCTCTGCTTTTAACTGTTTTTCCTTAAATTAACATTACTTGTATTAACAGAAAAATAATTCTAATAAATAATTTTTGTGTATAATTATGGCATAGTTAATTAAAATTCTTAATTACCGGTGACAATTTCTATGTGTAGATCCACAGGAAAAGCAGTGATTTAAACTAACCACTAATGCTTATCATGGAGAAGGGAGAAAAGGGAGATTAATATTTGTGAACACAACTTTTAGCTTGGGAGTTGGAAAGGAATATCTGATGCCCTCTTGTGGCGGATAATTTTTCAAAGGTGATTTGTTTCTTTTCATTGAAATCCTGTTTAAACCAAGAAAATACCAAAATATCTATTTTATTGCTTTCCAAATGACATAAAAAGAAAACAGAAAAACACTATCATTACCAATTTAAGGGGGACCATCATTCCCCTTGTTAATGACAGAGAACTGGAACCATCACTCCAGTCCTCCGTCTAGCTGCTAAAAGCAGGCGCCCTGGAGTCACACTGCTTGGGTTTGAAGTTCCTGTCACTTGGAGCAACTTGCAGGAATACTCCAAGACTCAGTTTCAATGATAAACCTGCTAAATTCTATTATTATCCTCATTTTTTTGCATCTATTTTCACCTGTCATACAACATGGTGGGCAATTTTGCACAGCAGTAGTCACAGATTATTCTTGTATTGGCCATGTGCTCTTACATAGTATGAGTTATAATCTTTTATTATGGCAAATAGTGCTGAATCAACCGTACATTGATATTTATACAACTGCAAAAGTATTTTCATAGGTTATCTTCTGGATGTATAGAATTTGAATTACTGGGCAAGAGAATATACACATTAAAAATTTTTTGACATTGTCAATTGCCTTCCCCAAAGAATGCAAACCACAGTCTTTTGAATGGTTCAGTTTGTTAGGTGAAAAATGGTACTTCATGGTTTCAGCTTTTATTTCCCTTGTCATTAGTGTGCCATTAGCACGTCTTCTGTTTTTAGCCATTTGTATTTCTTTATATTTGGTTCTGCTAAATAAGTATGTGTAGAAGGTTTTTGTATATTAAGAATGTTAATTAACTTTTAAACATTTTTTGGAAATTTTCTCCCTTTGGAAATTTGTTTTTTAACTTAAGTTATGATGTCTTTTGATATGCAGTTCAAATTTTTTTTTAATTCCAAATCAGCAATCTTTCTATCATCACAGGGAATATTTTCCTAAGCTAAAGCTTGTAAATATCTCATGTATTTCCTCTGTACTTTTATAGTTTAATAATTTATATTTTATCTTTAATCTATCTGGAACTTTCATGGTTTGAAGTAGGAATTTAAGTCTTAAAAATTCATAGCCAAATATTTAGTTTACTACTAATTTTTTATTAGTGAATATTTTTAACTGGTAAATACATTCACATAAACTTCTTTATATAGTTATGAATTGCCTAATGTTTCTGTCAATGACATACCACATATATATACAATAGTGACATAACATACAGACTAAGTTTAGTAGGCTGTATTATCTAGGTTTGTGTAAGCATACTCTATAATATTCGCAGGACAAAATCACCTACTGATACATTTTTCAGAATGTATCTTCCTTGTTATGGGGCACATGGCACCTGATTGTATCAATATTTCTGGTTCTGTACTAGTAATTCTATAAGTAGTATATTAGTTCACTCCTGGGTTATACTTTAGAGTCTATAAATTAGAAGGAAAGACAGTCCCTGTCCATTGTTCTTTTTTAAAAAATTCTTGGTTATTCTTGAAAATTATTCTTCCATGTAAACTTAAGTCAAGTTTTTGAGTTCCATTAAAATTCCCTGAGATCTTGATTTATGTTGACTTTACATATGAATTTGGAAAATAATGTTTTTATAGTATTGAGTCAATTTAGAAATGTGGTACATTCTTTGTCAGTTTTTTTTTCTTTTGGCAAATTTTTATAAATATTTCTCTATCAGACTCACACCTTTCTATTTGTTTTTAAATACTCAGTACTCTTTCTTAATGATAGGAATTTATCTCCCACAAAGTACTATTTACATTTTTTATCACGAAATCATGTAATACATAATTGGGAACACTACCACTCTATTATAAGCATTTATTATTTTGAAATATTTTCTTCTAGACACTGTATGATCAACAATAAAACGTAACCACATTGCAACCATTTAATTCAGAACTGTAACAGATTGCCCTCAAAACGTACATGCAATTTGGTTATCAATGTATAGTATTAAAAAATAAATCCACCAAACATGTCAAGTGCTTTTAAAAATGTTTCTTTACCCTTCCAGTTATAATTTTCAGTATAAAAATAATAATGCTTAGCATAAAAATCTAGACTGAAGTGCACAATGTAGAAAAATAGTTTTCTGTATCTGCCCATCTTCCCCTGCCTCTGAGAACACTAGTTTTAACAATTGGGAATTTATTTTTCCAATGTTGGTACCATCCTAGACACAATATTTTTATTTCTCTACTTGCAATATTTCCCCACCTTGCAACATTCTATTCCATGTTATTACCAATTAATCGTTTGTGACTGTATTTTCCAGTGTGTTTTTGAATAGACATTTGTATTTTAACTGTTCACCTATTGGTGGCTACTCGAGTTTTTGTTATTTTTGCCATTATCTAGGTAAAAGTGCAATGAACACTTTTATTTAGACAATGGCCTCCTTGTTTGAGTGATTCTGTAGGTGAATTTCTAGAAGTACAGCTGGTTGGTCAAAGGACATATGCATTTACATTTTAACTGCGCTTCAGAAAAGTTATACTCCTTTAAACCTGTACTAACACTGTATTATGTTTCATCACACACTTTCATCAACACTGGGCATTTCTGATCTTATGATTGCCAAAATAAATCTGCTTTAATTACTAGTGAAGTTCATACCGTTTATCAGTCATGACACTAAATTGTATACTTAAGTTAACCACTAAACTTCTAGCCTGGTTAGAAATGCTTGCCACCTATATTCCCTATAGGTTTACCATATATTGTATACACATTAATATATGCAATATTTTAAAACATCCATAAGCCAAGCTGTGGATGTCTGTCATAATACTTAGTATTTTCCCGTCCTGTGAAATTACAGCAAGGCTCCCAAGGCTTCCATACTTACAAAGGTCATTTCTGCAGTTTTTCCTTTTTTGAGGGTAGAAATAAAATTCAGTATTTTTGTGTTGATCATGTGCTTTAAGGAATAAATAAGCCACCCTAAGCAGTGGTGTATCTACTGCAAGTCCTAATAGTGAATTAGCTTTTTTTTTAAGGATTATATTTATTTATTTTTAGAGAGGGGAAAGGAGGGAGAAAGAGAGTGAGAAAAAATATGTGGTTGACTCTCACACACAGCCCCACTGGGAACCTGGCCTGCAACCCAGGCATGTGACCTGACTGGGAATTGAACCAGCAACCCTTTGGTTCTCAGGCTGGCACTCAATCCACTGAGCCACACCAGTCAGGGTGTGATTCTGTTTTAAGGGTCAGATGTACTCCCTTTTAAATTATACGAAAGAGCACAGGAATCTGGAAGGTGCCTAATGCTATTAAATTGGGAGGTAGGAGATGCTTTCTGCAGTGAATAAAGTGTGCACATTTTGAACAGATATGTAGAGCCTCTTCAACTAGTGCTTGTGTGAGTTTTCCAGTATGAATTGATACCATAAAGCTCCATCTGTAATCCAGGGATGTTTTCCGTGGCGCCCCAGTGTTACTTCCTCACAACTGGAATACATACTCTGGAAAATACCTGAAAACATTGTACACTATGTTAAATCACAGATAACTAAGAAAAAAGGAATTGAAGCTTGTGATACACTTGGGCCTTACTAATAGCACGAATTCTCTGTGTTCTTTCCCCTTGACCAGTCAATGGTACAGCTTTGCCATCTCAATTGGGCTGCAATTTCTCTCACAATTTGATTTAGTTCAAGCAAATAAAATGACTGTCAAGTTATTAGTCAATGCCTTTCCAGAAATATCTGAATAGTGTGTGAAAAAGGAATTTTGTCAAGACTATTAGATATTAATCAAGATATTTTCTTTTTTCTCACTTAATAAAATCTTTGTTTCTTCCCTTTTTATTCAAATCTGGCTTGATGTTAAACATTCTCACAAGTTTTAAGAGGTGATAGATTTTCTAAGTAATGAAATGAATAAAGGCATCAAGAGCATGGGCTTCACAAAGTACAGCTTGGTTAGGGCTTTCTTACTTAGCTTTCTGTGATTCTAGGTGTTTTTAACTTCTCTGAAAGTCCTTAAGTTAACTGAAATAATACTGATATCTACCCTCATGGGATTATTATGTGGAATAAACAAGTTACTGGCACATAGTAATAAAATATTTAATTTTAATTTTTTTAATTTTATTTTAATGTAATAAAATATTAAATAGTTTTACCTGTACAATGGCTATCCTGACAAGATAAATGCACATCATATGTGTTTGTAAGTATTTTTCCCTCTTCCCAATCACTAAGAAATTATTTTAACAGGGATAGCGGAGTAGAAAGTCAACATGAATGCTTTATCAGCTTAAAATCATAGAAGTTTGCTAAAAAGTTAAATACTTTGAAACAAATATTATACACTAAAAAGCCAGAAGTATTGTACTTATTGGTGTAATAAAATTTACCAAGAGTTTTTAAAAATTTCTATGTCCAAGTTTAACCTCTAAATTTAGAACTTTACAATTGTATCTACAAATGCAAAATAAAAGAATTAAGGCAATTATCATTCACTCACAAACCACTCCTGTTAAAACCTGCCTGATAAGGCTTTCAAGCTATTATGCAGCCACACTTTATCTTCATTAGAACAATCCTAGTCATATAAGAGAGACTTCAGACATCTTACAACTTAGTGCTATTTACCACTGAAAGTTAGAAACTTTTGTATCCCATGCTTACTAGACTGACTTGAAGACCCAGGAGAAAGATGCTGAGAAAGATGATCTTCATTAGAAATGGATTGGAGCCCTAGCTGGCATAGCTCAGTGGATTGAGCGCAGGCTGCGAACCAAAGTGTCGCAGGTTCAATTCCCAGTCAGGGCACATGCCTGGGTTGCAGGCCATGACCCCCAGCAACCGCACATTGATGTTTCTCTCTCTCTCTCCCGCCCTTCCCTCTCTAAAAATAAGTAAAATCTTAAAAAAAAAAAAGAAAAGAAATGGATTGGAAAAACTATATTGATAACAGCTTTCTTTTGCTTTAAATTAATTTTAGGACAAAGTGTGGGGGGGTGAACTGAAATAAAAGCTGGAAATCTCTACAGGTAGTTCATCTAATATACAAGTTCAAAATCAGCATTTTCTCCTACACACCCTGCCATTTAGTCATCAAAACAAATAAGAGATTTAGATTTTACAGTATCTTATATGGAAAGGTCTGGATACTAGAGGTGTACCCAAAATACTTCCTTTTATGACAGTATGGTAGTATACTTCTGATTTTCCCAACAAGCTTCTAATTACATGAGCAAACTTAAATGCTAACTCCATGACAAAAATACTTGAAACCTGTCACCTTTACAACTGACCACAAAGCTGCCATTACCACATAAAACTCTCTCAAGTTTTAAAAACTAAAACTTAAATACAACTAATCTGCCTGGTGATGCTAATTACCCCTAGAAAAGTAAACTGAAGTCTGAACAGGCATCCACTATATACAGGGGTAGACAAAAGTAGGTTTACAGTTTGCTGTATGGTACATACAATGATAATAAATTTTCATATACTCACAACTAAAAACTTACTTTTGCCAACCTCCTGTATTTCTGGAAGAAAAGTAGATATGGTTTGGAAATATGTTAATAGCTGTGTATGTCTTTATCAAAGAGTACAATAACATTAAAACAAGAAAAGTATCTAAGGTTTAAAATTAAGCATTACATTGATTTTGCAAACTTCATTTTCATACTTTAAAATCTTTTTGAGCTACATATCCTTATGATTTGTGTACTTCTCTGGTATCCTATACCTCAATAGAACTTATCAGAAAAAATGACAACAGGAATACTTAAAATGGCCAGGCCATCTAATGACTAGCAAATAATGATTTCTCTAAGTTAAATAATTTAGATGTTAGAGATGGAAAAAATTATTGATCTTAGTGTTTTAAAATTTACTTTGGGAACCAAATTCTTATACCTCCTTTTCTCTTTTTGTAGTCCGAGTACACTTACAAGACTGATGGAATTACAGTGGTATAAATAAGAAGGACCACTGAAGAATCCTAAGTACTGTTCTATTTTGCTTTATTTTGGACCTCTACTAAAGACTTCAACATGTTGGGCAAAAGCACATGGCACAGAAATTAGAGTGGCTGAAAGGACATTTCTGCTTTATGCAACAGCATTATGCACATAAGTCAAATGCCATACCAAATTAGTATAGGGCAAATTCTTGGTTAGGAAAATTCTATGTACAGTGACTTTAATATTTTGAAAGATGTTTTATGTTTATATTTTCAACAAGCTACTAACAAATTTTAGACTTTTTATATACTTATTTTGATATTGTAGCCTTTGGGGAAAGTATGGTTTTTTTATAAAGTTGATTTTTTTAAAGGAAATGTTTACCTTTTTTCTTTGCTAAATGTTTAATTAAACAATGAAGTGAAACATCCCCTTTGCTCTCCCTTTTTTGTGCACAGAACAGAAGCACACATTGTCATGCCTCAAACTACTTTTTATTTGCAACTACATGATTTCACACAATTCTTCTAAACAGTAACATAAAATATATTTCCTTGTGTATAAATAACTTACATACTCTCCACAAAGTAAATGCTCCAAGGTGCTAGAACAGATCGTCCACTCCTACAGTGTTCTTGTATGCAACAGAGTTGATGCACAACATATAAATACTCAAGTCCAATATTAAAAACTCAGGCACTTGACTAACTTTAATAAAGTTTCTCAAACTATATCAATATATCTAAAGTGCATATATTTTTAAGAAAGATTATTCTCAATAACTTCTCTATAAAAATAAGTTTGATGGTTTAACCCATCTAACTTTACTACTATGAGTATGAACTTTTAACTTTTAATATGTAGTCAGGCTTATTCTACCTTCTCTCAACACCAATAGAATCAAAAGCAGCTAATGAGGTGCTAACATGTGCGGATTAATCCAGTGATTTCGGTCACAGTGCATTCCAGGAGGAGGCACCCATGTTACTGGAATTGGACGATAAGGTTTATTATTCTTCCTTCCCTGATTCGGATAACCAAATGGAACAGGAGGAGGGTAGTGACTCTGATGACCATTCCCTCGGTACATTCCTGGCTTTCTTCTGGGCAAAGGGTGCCATATAGGAAGAGGTGGGAATATAAGTTCTGAAATCTGTAAGAAAGAGAAAACAGCAAGTCAATTCAAAGAAAAAAAAATTAGTCATGTGTTATGTAAAAACCAGGTGAATTTTCAGATTCCTTATTAAAGAAAAACAAAACCACTCACCCAAAGAGCGACATTCCTAAGGTTAAGTCTAAATATAGGGTGGGGCAAAAACAGGTTCATAATTTTGAGTACATAATACACAGTTTATTCTTCTATTATTTATAAATGATTGTATTATTTTCCATATAAACAACTCTAAACCTTTTGCCCCATCCTGTATGTTAAAAACAGGTGATCAATCAGTGTTTTCTAAGTTAAGTGAAAATGAATAAACTCAAATATAGCCCTCTGAAGCAACCAGAAATCTCCCTATATTTTCTTCCAAAAACATCAAGAGATTTAGCTTATATTTTTAGGTCTGTGATCCATCCCAAATTAAAATTTTTCTGTGTATGGTGTCAGATACCCACTAGGTGGTTCTTCTTCTCTTAAAAAAAAAAAAAAAATTAAAATTGGCCACTTGCACCAGCTTTCTACACAATGGCATATACCAGGCTTTTCTGTCATGAAATTTTTTTTGTTAGTAGATATAATGTGAAAAAAGTAATGTTTTATTTAAAAAGCACAACAGACTTTCATTTCCTATTATAATTTTATCCTAACAGTCTTTCAATGTGGGTGGAAAATAAATATAATTTAATTTTAAAGTAAAATCTAAATATTAAAGGGCAATTTAATTATAAAATATTAGCAGCAATCAGTTCAATTTGGATTTTATATTCTTGCTTTGTTAAATAACTAACAAAATTCTGAGGTAAAATTGGACATATCTGAATGACTTCCAGGCAATTTAACAATGGTAATTTGCAATATATAACAAATTATGCAAAGAGGGGGAAAACACACCATATTTAAGGCAAAGGTCCTAAAAATGTTACTATATACAAAATCTCTCAGAAAGAATACAAAAATAAGGGAATCACTATAAGGGCATAGGACTAGTAGTGGTTGGCGGTAGAGGAAAGGCTTGTCACTGTTACACTTTTATCCTGTTTGGTGTTGTTTTTAAAAGCAGGTGCAGGTGTTGTATCCTATAATACACATATATACATATACAATATAGTAAGTAATCTTTAGAACTAATCTTCCTTTAAAACTTAGGAAGGATAATGCAACTAAAAAATAAAAGGAGAAATAAAAAATGAAGTAACATTGAGAGAATGCTCACTATATAAATGTATGTTAAATTTAAAGGTTTCATTGTTCATATTCAAAACTGGTAACTCTTATTTCTTACTTATGAAGGTCTAAATTCTCATTTCAGCACAAACCCAACTCTGCTGTAAACTTGGTATGTTTCATTAAGTCTAAGGCCAAAATAGTAAAAACAAGTATATTTAAAAGTATAGAGTTGACCCATGAACAATATGGGAGTTGGATATACCGCCCTCTCCTGTAAATATTGATGTATTAACTTTTGACTCCCCTAAAAGCTTAACTAGTTGTCTCTTGATACCAGCAGGAGATTGATTCCAGGATCCCAGAGATATCAAAATCTGCAAATACTCAAGTCCTCTATATAAAATGGCATAGATTAATGCATATGGTCGGTCCTCCACATCCTCAAACTCCCAATCTCGGACTAAAAACAATACAGGTATTTATTGAAAAAATCCACATTAAGTGGACTCATGTAGTTATACCCATATCATTCAAGGCTCAGCTGTGCTTAAAATTAGAAAAGTGTTCAAGCACAGAATAAGGCTCAACTCAAAGATTTCTTTAAATATTTTTTACTCTAAAATATCTTTTCGGTTGAGAATTACTGTTGTTAAGAATTTTTATAAATATATTAAATGTTCTTTGGCATGTGGGGTATAAATTGTAAATAACTGAACATATCCTGTAAGTGCCTGTATGGTAACTACATTAACTCTTCAACTGTTAAAGTAAAGGAGGTACTATATTTTGGCTTGAGTGAAAATTAACTAAAATATAATTTAGTGAGATTTCTCTTAGAACACGGAAAAGTAAAGAACAAGAAAGTTAAACCCAAAGGTATGAACTAGAAGTGTTAGAGACTACAAAAAATGAGTGGCTATTTTTGAATACAGTAAGGACTTTAAAAATACCAGGAACACTTTATTACACTTATTTTTCTCTTTCCACACACTCTTTGAAACACGTTTATCCTACTTATTGGGTAGTAAAGCTGACCTCTGATAAAGTGACTCAGGATGCCTAGTTACATCTCAGAGAACAACTTCACGTGGAAAGACAACTGTAATCTGGAATCTCAAATCAGAGAAACCTTGAACAACATGAAATGACTTGGCAAGCCCTCCTCATGGACTTTCAATATAAAGCTGTTTCATGGTTACCTGGTACATGGGACCTGGGGTTGCAGTCACTGAACTGGATTTCACTTCCATTTCTTTACTTGTCGTTTCTTCATCTGAAGAAGAGGATCCTGAATGATAATCAGAGGTAACCTTATCAAGGGCCCTGGTAACTTTCTTAGAGATCTCATCCTTGTTCTCATCCTCATTTTCAAAGCTGGCAACAATGAAAGCATTGTTTTTTTCTCCATACCTAAGAATTAAAAAAAAAAATCTTACAAACCTTGAAGTCACATCAACATGGTCATAGAAACAATTAAACTGGTCTGGACATGTCACTGTTCCAGAGCAAAGAAGGGACCCTCCTAGAACTTGATCTTACATATATAATATCCTAACCTAGCTTCATGCCAGCAGGCAGGCCACAGTTTTTTACTTCTGATCCACTGAACTTCAGATAAAAGTGACTCTATTCTTTTTCAATTTTCTTTTCTACTGTCACCTAAACACTTATTTCAAACATCAAAGAGAAATTCATTGTTTTGATTACATTTTTATGTACCATTAAAGTAAACTCTAATATATTTTAAAGTGATCCCTATACTACAGATCCTAGTAATTCAAGTCACAAATCAACTAGATATTTCTTATGACATTTACTTTTATCATGACTAAACACAAAGGGGCCTGTTTCTTATATTCAGACAAAAATAAGAATTGAGGCAACTGCTGAGGTTAAAGAAAAAACGGTGGTTGAGGAAATAAAGGGGTTTTGCTTGAACTATACTGTATACCTCATAGTGATTCCTAGCATAACTATTCACCTCTCATTTTAATTTTTTAAAGAGTCAAATAAGCCTTTTTCTACTTCCAAAATGTTTTTAAAGACTTGATCTAAGAAAAATAGTTGTCAAAATGTGTAACTTTGGCTGTTGGTTATTTCAAAAAAGGAAAACCATTTCTGCAATAAGGGTATAATACAGCACAGCAAACAGTAAAAGTAGTCATTTTCATTCAGAGGCCAAAGGAAAAATCCACAAATTTATTTAAATAGATTGTACAACATAAAAATGGTGAAACAATTTCTAGTAAATATTAGGACAAAGGATATTAACTGTTAGGCAATTCTTACACAATATGTAATTAAAGTTAGAAAAAGTGATTCTAAGCTTAAAAAACAAATACAACTTCAATAAAAATAAAGTTAACTATAATTGACATCAATTAACTTCATTCCAAATAACCTGTCTCAACTTACTTCTAAATCAAGATATTTACAATAAACAGCCTAACTGCAATAAAGCCTTTGAAAGTTTATATAGAAATCAAGTAGTCTCGTAGGTGAGTTCTGTGTATTCATATAGCTGTGCTATCTTCCATTTGCACAGGCTGAATTGGGCTATAAATGCTACCTGAATATGGAGCATAACTCTTCTTTTTCAGTTTACCTCATAAAAGGAGTTGCTACAGGATGGCAGAAAGAGCACTGGACAAGTTTCTGGTTCTGGCTGGGCCATTAACTAGTTCTGTGACTAGAGGCAGGTAATTTAGTCTCTCCAGGCCTCAGTTTCCTATTTGCAGTGTGAGGAAACTGGAGCTGGTTAGATACTGGCTGGTCTTCTGCTGGTGATTCTTCTTAGTATCAGATGCCTGAACGGTTGGGCAAGTTCCTCACAATACAGAATTCATGTATTATTATTTCAAGTTTACTTAGCATAGGGTTTTTAGCGATGGAAATTTACCCTTCTGTCCTCTCCAGCATTTAAAGGCTAGGCAAATCATGATACTATCAAAGGTTAATTCATATGTTAATGTCATTATAAACAATGGACTTAGGCCTACCTTCAATTTTGTCCATTAATGGAGTCAAAATTCAAGCAAAACAGAAAGGCAGGAAATTTGAGAAAAATCCCTGCCTTTATAGGAACAGAAACCTAAATCAGGGGCAGACAGCTAATGATTGTAGGATCAGCTGTATTAACTCAGATTTCTTTGACATGCAAGTTCAATTAAGTTCTACATCTTTCCTTTTGTAGTCTTTTGGTATGAGTGCTCTCTTCACGGTAAGTAAAGTTGCTTTACTGTATTACAGTAACGTTAGAATGTATAGTTAATTCCTTAGAATTAGTAATGAACAACTTTTAAACTTTCCATTTTTTAATGATACACTACTAAAACATTAAGGTCAATTTAGTTAATTTGAAGCAATCAATAGTATCTAAGGCTCTTTATCAGGAAAAGAAAGGATCACAGAAAAAAAAATTCTCTTTGGCTTAAACAACAGAAATTTATTTTCTCACAGCTCTGGAGGCTGGAAATCCAAGATCAAGGTGCCAGTAGGGTTGGTTTCCTCTGAGGCCTCTTTCCTTGGCCTGCAGATGGTTGCCCTGTTATTGACACTTCCACATGGTTTTTCCTCTAGACACGTGCGTCCCTGGTGTCTCTTTCTGTATCAGAGTTTCCTCTTTTTTTAAAAATATATTTTGATTATGCTACCGCAGTTGTCCCATTTCCCCCCTTCATTCCCCTTCACCCTGCACACCCTCTCCCACCCACATCCCCCCCTTTAGTTCATGTCCACGTGTCGTAAGTTCTTTAGCTTCTACATTTCCCATACTATTCTTGCCCTCCCCATCTATTTTCTATCTACCATCTATACTACTTATTCTCCGTACCTTCCCCCCCCCCCACTCTCCTGTCGCTAACCCTCCATGTGATCTCCATTTCTGTGGTTCTGTTCCTGTTCTAGCTGTTTGCTTAGTTTATGTTTTTGTTTTACGTGTTTAATAACGGTGAGTTTGCTGTCATTTTACTATACATGTTTTTGATCTTCTTTTTCTTAAACAAGTCCCTTTAACATTTCATAAAATAAGTGCTTGGTGATGATGTACTCCTTTAACTTGACCTTATCTGAGAAGTATTTTATCTGCCCTTCCATTCTAAATGAAAGCTTTGCTGGATAGAGTAATCTGGGATATAGGTCCTTGTCTTTCATGACTTGGAATACTTCTTTCCAGCCCCTTCTTGCCTGTAAGGTCTCTTTTGAGAAATCAGCTGACAGTCTGATGGGAACTCCTTTGTAGGTTACTGTCCCTTTATCTCTTGCTGCTTCTAGGATTCTCTCCTTCATTTTTACCTTGGCTAATGTAATTATGATGTGCCTTGGTGTATTCCTTCTTGGGTCCAACTTCTTTGGGACTCTGAGCTTCCTGGACTTCCTGGAAGTCTATTTCCTTTGCCAGACTGGGGAAGTTCTTTATTATTTGTTCAAATAAGTTTTCCACTTGTTGCTCTTCCTCTTCTGGTACCCCTATAATTCGGATGTTGGATCATTTCAAGATGTCCTGGAGGTTCCTAAGCCTCTCCTCATTTTTTTGAATTCTTCTTTCTTTATTCTTTTCTGATTGTATGTTTTTTTCTTCCTTCTGGTCCACTCCACTGATGAGACCCAGGTCTCATTCCATCATTATTGGTTCCCTGTGCATTTTTCTTCATTTCACTTATTGTAGCCTTCATTTTTTTTCATCTAATTTGAGACCAAAATCAATGAATTCTGTGAGCATCATCACCAGTGCTTTGAACTGTGCATCTCGTAGGTTGGCTATCTCTCGGTCACTTAAAAGTACAGGTTCTGGGGCTTTCACTTCTATTTGAGCCCCCCCGCTTTGGTCTGGTAGTGCCTGTTATGTATAAGGGGTGGAGCCTCAGGTGTTTACCAGGGTGGGGCACCCCAGTCACTGGGTTGTGATGTGTGTGGGGGCAGGGTCCCAGAGGGAACAACGGCACTTGCTCTGCTCTCCATCTGACCTCAGTCCCTTCCGCCGCTTCCTCCGAGCAAACTGGGCCCCTCTGGTGCCAATTCTCGTGTGGGTGGCTTGTGCACCCCATGGGACTTTCCAACAACCTCTCCTGTGAGGCTGGGAGTCTCTCCCTGCACCTCAGCCCCCACAGGTGTTTTCAATCAGTACCCCAAGGCTCTATTTCCCAGCGCTGTGATCCTGAGTTGCATGTAGTGCCTTGCTTCACAATCCCCGCCTTGCTGGGTCTGCCAGTTGCCACCCCTCAGCTGGGGTTTGCCAGCTGCCGCTTGCGCACTCAGGGTCCACCTGCTGCGGTCTTGCACGCCCCAGATGCCTTATGCGCCTGGTCCCAATGCTCCCTGCTCTCCGCACCTCGACCCACGCCTGGATACCTGATTCCACCACTCCTACCGGTCTGGATGAACGTGTCTATTTTAACTTCTTGGTGTCCGACTTCCATTCAGATCAATTTTCTGTCAGTTCTGGTTGTTATTGTTTCTAAATTGCTGCTGTCCCTATCTTGGTTGTGCGAGGAGGCACAGTGTGTCTACCTATGCCTCCATCTTGGCCTGAAGTCCCAGAAAATTAAAAAAAAAAAAAAAAAAGTTATAGAACTATGTTGAGTAGGTAGTAAAACTGCCAAATTCTCTTTATTGGAAAGATGTGTTATCCATTCTGTATCTTTTCAAATATTTCACTAACTGTTTAAGTTCCCAACACTATGCACCCTTCCAATTTTCTATCCTGATGTAAACTCAGACTATGAAGAATGTTATCTTTGAGTGCATTTCAATTTTCTTCACAACCTTCAGTTAGTCTCTAGTCATTGTTAGTTATTATTCAGATATGTATTGTTATATAATATAACTAACTGCTAGATGAGGTTTGTTTTAATTTTCAGTTCTTTCTTTCTAGTTTGGTCCAAAAGCACTAATCACTACTTCAATCTCCTCTACTAGCTTATGGTATCATCTCTACTGAATTGCTAACCATCTTTCTTTTGGGGGTTATCACTGACGGAGACCTCCACATTCTTAAGGTGCTTTCTATTAACCATGTAAAAATATTTCACATCTCAGCCATTATTTGGCAAAATTTTAATCATGTATAAATTAGAAAGCTACTGAATACAAAAATTTTCTTATATTAACCAGATAGATGAAAACACAATAACTTTTCATTATCTGGCATCATAATAATGTACCCACTTAGGTACAATGTCCATATAACTAAAGCTTTTATCTTTAATTCAGGTGCCATGGTTTAAACATTTCAAATAAATTTGTCCAAAGTGCTCATATAATTACCCAACTTTCTTAAACATTCTTGGACATAGAAACTTTTTCCTAATGATTTAAAGTCATTGTATTAAATATTCATTATTTGACTGTGTAATAACACATTTGTACCAACTCTTCAGCTTCTTCACACCCACCTCTATGTCAGACCATGACTGGGGTTTTTTTGTAGCCTGACTACTGTGAGCAACCCCCTTTCATATGCTGCTTACAATCTTGTATTAGTTGAAAAACTACACAACTACTTAAAGAACTGTGTTTAATAAGGAAGGGTCCATCAGCATCTAAGTGCAGTCCTAATAAAAATGCAAGCAATTTAATACAATAGCTTTGTGATAGCTATATTTCTCATATACTGAGGTCTTTCTGCCAGTGTTTCAGTGGTCAGTCTCCAGTCTCACCCTGGCCTCAGTTGAGTCCTTATTTAGTCCAGGACAGGCCAGGAAATTCAGTGAAAGAACCACCACGCATTTTTGACATGTCTTCACCTCCACTTTCATTGTTGAAGATCAAGTCAAAGGCTATTATTAATATGAACATTTGGAATGTATTAGGGTTACATCATAAAGCATCTCTACTACAGTCAACAGGTGAATTGTTCCTCAAAATTAAAGAGAAATAATCCTAAAGAAAGAGCTCTAGTAAATTACTCACTGGGGTTTCCAAGCATCTGCTCATGCTGTTCCTCCTGCCTGGAAAGGTCCTTCCTACCTCGTTACCTAGTCAAGTGCAACTCATCCTTCCCCAATTGACTCAAGTATCAAATCACCTACTCAAATAGTCTTTTTTGACTCAGCAGAGCACTAATTTTTCCATTGCGCCATCAACCACCGCATTTTATACATTTTCCTATTATAGCACAAATCATTCCATTATAATCTGCTTATTCTTTCTTCTAATTTATTACATTTTGAACTACCTGAAGGACTTATGACACTTTCATTTTCAGAAATGCCGCAGCTAAGAAGCCTGGCCCACAACTGAATATTTCTAGAATGAATGGAGTACAATTAGATTTCAGACCTACCACTCACCTTTTACAATTCTGTTCATTAGGAGACAAAAAGTAATTTCCATTATGAAAACCATAAAAATATCAACCAGTCACTTAAAAATCAAAAAGGGAGGCCAAGAACAGAAACAAACAGAAACAGAGACCAACTAAAATTTATTATCCAGTATTATTTAAGATTAGCTTATTTCCTAATTTGAAAACAGGAAAGACAAGTGTACCACCAATGAAAGAAGAACTGACCTACAGGAGTCTAGGTCAATTTTATTTCTTGATCTACAATAAACTTCTTTACAAAGTTACAGAAAAACCCTGTCCAATCAAGATTTTTAGTTTCTTTATCTGTAAAATAGAAATGTAACCAGTTACTTCCTATCACCTCATAAAAAGTACTTTACAAAATCCACATCTCAGGAAGCCAAGCAACCAACTTCTGGCTATAAAGATACACAGGCAGGCACTACCTAGAAGAATTTAATGAAGTCAATTCCAGAATGGTAATCAGTTCAGCCACCAAATTAAAAAACTCACCGACAGCACACCTCACATGGGTCCACCCACAAAGTGAGTTCCTTTGGCAAGCCCAGGTCACTGTACAAGATGCAGCTGTTCTCACAGGCTTTCAAGACGTCAGGATCGACTCTCTGAAACTTATTAACACGAATGCATCTACAATAAAGTAGAGTCATGTTAACAGCTTTAACTGAATCATGGTCATAAGCCTCACTACATCTTTTAGTATTTGCCAATATGAATGAAAAAAAATATCCCTGCAGAGAACTTAAAAGTGTTCCTAGATAATAAATGGGAACTAAAGGCAGAGGCGGCATCAATAAGACTACCCAGGCTGATAAAAAGAAATGGGCATCTGTGTGAGCCCAGGGAAATCATTAAAACTGATTCTACTTCATTTTACCTAGAAACTACTCAACATGTACATTATATGAGCAAGAAGTATGAAAGCTGTATGAAATTAGAGCTCTTAAGGCAAATGTTTTCATAGGCCAAGTTCGTAAATAAGAAAACCTCCAACAAGACCTCCACCAGTGTTTCAAATAGTATTTGGAAATTCTCATGACAAATTTTGATCTGTGATTGCCTTGCTTATATATCCCAGATAATAAAATAAGTGTTAAGAAGAATGTCCTCTGTCTTACCTGTAACTGTTGTATAAAACTAGAATTAGTCAAGGACACAGAACCATACGTAAGATTAAAATATAATCCAAAGTGTTATTGGCTTATTTCATTTAAATTCTGTTATGCAAGGGTTTTATTTTTAATAGTTGTCAAAATAAGTGAGAATGTTCAAAGATGCCTCCCAATACAAATGCAAAATACATGTTAAAATGAGCATTCTACTTATATAGAGAAATAGTATTTACAATGAAAGTATTTATTGCCAACAACTAAGAAATCAAGAGAACCCAAGTTTTGGTACTAGCCCTAGAACTAGTACTGGGTGAATTTAGATTAAGCCATTTCACCAGCCCTTTCTTCACGACCAATTTGCACACTCCCAGTTTCGAATGTTTCTCTTCTGTTCTTTCTCCCTCTGTTCCCCTCTATCTAAAAATACATTTTTTTTTAAAAAAAAAGGCCCATGTAGCCCTGGCCAGGTAGCTTAGTTGGTTGGAGTGTCATCTATACATCAGAATAGGTTACAGGTTCAATTCCCAGTCTGGACGTGTATGAGGGAACTAATTGATGTTTCTCTCTCTCCCCCCGTCCCTTCCTTCTCTCTAAAAATCAATAAACACATTCTCAGATGAGAATTTAAAAAAAAAAAAAAGTTCCACATATCCTAGAATCAAAAGGAGTTAAGGGTAATCTTAATATGTGTTTTTCCTATGTACTGATATAGGCTCTATGCTTAAAAATATGTATCTGCTCCCCAGCTGGTATAGCTCAGTAGATTGAGTGAAGGCCTGCAAACCAAAGAGTCGCCAGTTTGATTCCCAGCCAGGACAAATGCCTGGGTTGCAGACCAGGTTCCCAGTAGGGGGGCGCACAAGAGGCAACCACACACTGATGTTTCTCTTCCTCTTTCTCCTTCCCCCTCTCTCTAAAAATAAATAAAATCTTTAAAAAATGTATGTATCTGCTTTAACAAAATTTACATACCTTATATATTTTATGCTGTTTTTCACTCTATATACTATGACTACTTATCCATTAACCACTCTTTAAAACAGGATTTTAAACAATGCGTAAAAATAGTCTATCAATTAATGTTACCAGTATAGTTCTTCCCAAATTTTTTGCAATTATAAAGTGTAAGAAACATCCATATTTATACATATTTGTCTACATTTCTAATTAAGTTCCTAGAATAGATTTTTAGGAGACTTAACTGTTCAAGAGTATGGATATTTTTTATAGATCTTAATAATGCCAAATTGCCCTCCAAAACCATCTATTTGTACATATTGCAGAGAAACAATTTTAATTTATAAACACTTTAGAAGAAAAAGAACACTTCTACCCTACTCTATGCATTGAAGAGTATACTAACTCTGGTTAATCCTATCATTGATTCATTTTTATAATGGTTAACGACCTAGCATTAAGTCTGTTTTCTACTTCAAAGACAACTTCTAAATGACTTAATAATGATACTTCTGATCACATGCCAATTTAATCCTTTTTGGCTAACATTTTTTGCCTCAAGTTTTTAGAAGTAATGGAAATGAAATTATACACTGTGTGACCTTTAAGCATTTACTTGACAGTGCCTCCTTTTCTCAGGAATAGTACAGTGGCTCAGCACTTCCATGCACCTTCAACCAATGTCAATTACATATGTGTAAAAGCCTCAACAGCTCTAACTCACAAAAGCTGTTCACTCTATCAGTAATGAAGATGTGCAGAAAAAATTAAGAGAATTGAGGGACAAGATAAAAAATAACTTGAGATTGTTTTATTTAGAACATCCACATTTCTGCTTTAACTCACCATATTTCCAATTTACCAAGAAAGCTCTTGGGTAAAAACAAAGGGGAAAAATAACATTGCTTTGATTCTTTTTTCAATAGAACACACACTCACCTAACTTTTAGCAAATGAGAAACAAATTGTATCTTCACCTACTGTGTACATTCTTTGAATAGTCTTGCACTTGCAAGAGCTCAATGACTAAAAGGAGGTCCTTTTTACATCACAGCACGTAAGTGCTGCTTTGTGGAGAAAACTTTCAGGATAACAATACCCATAAATACAAGAATTTCTGTACTCATGATAGCCACAACTGTTCCACTTTAATTTTTTTTGTGGCCACATCCACAAATTGGGTGAGGTTTAACCAATGAGTTTAGCAGAATATTCTCAACCTAAGTTCCTGAGCGGTCAACATCAATAGCAGGGAGTAAGCATGCCAGGACATGTTCCACAGGAGTCTGTTCTTCTTTACTTCAAGCTGTAAATGTAACTTATAAACCAGAGTACAAAACAGCTACAAGTGAGAATTACCTTCCCTCTCAGAGTGGGGTATACAGAAAGACCACAAGAATTTAGGGTCAGTTATATCTGAGTTCAAATCTCAAAGCTACTAATTTACCAGTTGTGAATCATAGGTAAGTTGCCTTCACCTATAAAACAGTTGTACTGGCTTCTACAATAAAGAATTATGCATAGTATAAAGTTAATTCTATGTAAAGAATGTATTAGGTATCTAATCATCTTGATTCCCATTTGTATAAAATTTTTATTTTTTTGTAAAACATGTAACATTTAATTTACTTTTAGATTCAAGGAGACCCATTTCCCTCAACTCCTACCATGCCCATTTATGGATGATAGGTTTAGTGTACCCCTAGAATTGTGAAAAACCCCAAGTACCTGTGATAACAGAGAGGAATGTACTCAAGTAGGAGCCAAACTATAACCACAAGAAGACTAACTCCTATGAGTCTAAAGTATCACCCCCCCCCAAGTCCAGGCAGGGGGGCTCCAACAAATACATGTATTTTAAAATAAGTAAGGAAAAAAATACCAAGATACCCCAGAGTTCTGCTTTTGCAAATAAACTATAAAAGGCATGGACTGGACTCCTTTAGCCCTTTGGCCTTGCATGCATGTTAGAAACCGATCAGCCTCTTCACTTAGTCCAATCCAATTGTCCAATCTAATCCTTTACCTGTAGGCCTGTCCTTTTGAAGGTTTTTCAGGATACCAGTGATTTTTGTATTTTTCTTGAAGTATCAGAGTCAACTTCTCAGCAAATCTCTCAACTGCCTCTTTCTTCAACTTATCATGTTTTCGAACTAGCCTTGTGAAAAAGAAGACAACAGCAGCAATTTCGTTCTTCATTTTCCCTGCAAAGATAAAGTAGTTTTTCTCAAAACAAAATATAAAAAGTGGAAGATAAAGCTCTGCAAAATATCCCTCCTTGATCTCGCCTTCCTTCCAATTTTATCTTGTTTCATTGGCTCATATCTGGAGTGGAGAACAATCGCTATTTATGCCACAAAGACTTTATAAAATACTATTTAAGAATTCTACCACTTAGCTCTGTGAAAAAATTCAGTAAAGAGAGCACAACAAATTGCTGCTACTGGTTAAAATAAAATCAGAGATATCACTCAGAAAGTACTGTAATACCATTACAGTATACAGTTTTTATTAAATGCGTCAATATTTAGCTGTAATATCTTAAGTTTAAAATTCTGTGAAATAATTTGAATTTTAAAACAAAAAAGTTCATTTAAAATTAAGTACGGTAGAGGCACAATAGAAAACAATTTGGCATTCCTAAAAAGGTTAAAGGGTTACCATATGTACCAGCAGTTCTGCTCCTAGCTATGTAATCAAGAGAAATGAAAACATATGCTTACAACAAATTGTACACAAATGTTCATAGCAGCATTATTCATAATAGCTATAAAGTAGAAACAACCCAAATGTTCATCTACTGATGAGTGGACATATAAAGTGTGGTGTATACATGCACAGCGGAATATTATCGGGCAACAAAAAGGATGAAATAATGACATACGCTACAACACTGGGAGAGTCTTGAATACATTACATTAGAGGAGCAAGTCAAAAAGAACAAAGTTGCATAATTCCATTTATATTAAATGTCTGGAACAGGTAAATCTATATAGATACAAAGTAGACTAGTGGTTTAGCGGGGCACTAGGGACAGAGAGGAAAGAGGAGTGATGTCAATTAGTACAGGATTTCTTTTTGAGGTTGTAAGAATATCCCAAAATTGACTGTGATAATGGCTATTCAACTTTATGAATATATTAAAACCAACAAACTGTACATTTTAAACCTAAGAATTATATGCCACATGAATTATATTTCCACAAAGCTGCTATAATCCAGTATAGCATTCTTTCTGGTAAGCATTCTTTCAGGAACAGGTATGACAAAAAAGAGTACCTCTGTGAGAACACATTTAAGAGAATTAAAACTTAGGGTCATCTATAGAAAATCAAACTAAAAGAAATAATCAGAGATTTAGCTGCATTTTGGAAGTGCCTCAAGGAGAATTTTTTAAATGGCATATCTTATTTATCATTGATTAATCCATAAAGGCAGAAACAACCATGTCCTGGGATTGTTTCAATGTATATTCTGTCTTTATACGATGAGCTCATTCATTTGGCTGAAGTAACTTGGAGTTATTCAGATGATGCATTTACTAAGCAACATCACCTTTTTTGAAGCCAGTTATTAAAGACTTACAGCCTCTGCTATGTCTAGAATAAAACCCAACTAACCCAATAGTTTGTGTTCTCACACATTCAAAAAATAAAGGTGATTGTTAGCTTCCTTTTTCTTTTCTCAAACCTGCTCTTAAAAGTCTCTCTTCATAAGATGATTCCTTTACTCCTTGTGCAAATTCAAACAAGGGATCTCACTGTGAAATAAATTCTATATAGTTATCTGAGAGGTGTGCTGGCAGCCATAGCCACCCTGATCCTGGATGGGAAGACACCCAAACCTTCCTCCTGGAATCCTAGAATGCCAAATCCACTTTCTATGGCCAGCTACCAGGCACCAGGCACTAGGCTGCACACAACAGGGTGCAGGCACACACAACCCCAGTCCTCCCACAAATGCTGTGTAGCCTTTTTCCTCCTGAAAAAATGTGAGCCATCCCCATTTTACAAAGCCACATATACAACCACCTTAGGATGGAAATGAAAACCCCACTGCGATTTAACATATGGTTTGGGATAAAAGTTGGTGATGGAACTACATTAGCCTCCACACCACCAAGTAAAACAAGGAACCACACTCAAGAAAAGTACTGAATCTGTAACTGGATCCTTCTCCTCATTCAGTAAGTTTGCCAACCGTGCTCTACATATTTGAGTTTGGGGTTTTGCTTTCCCTTTTATTTTTGCTCCGTTTCGTATCGAAAAGAAAAGGAAGGAAATAACCACTCAGTGGTTGCTGTTGGTTGTAACACAAGATGAGTCATATGGAATTACTTTTTTTCAGTTTGAAGGGATGATGCCTGGAACAGCTGAAAAAGGAACCCCGCCCCCCAGCCAGGGATCTCGAGGAGCACCCGAAGGTACAGCGAGGCAGAGTCACCAAGTCAGGGAGAGAGAAACCAGAAGCAAACAGGGACCGGAAGAGCTTAGGCGCCCTGAGTTAAGTGGCCGCGATTCCTCCACCCACCCCGAGAGCGAAAAGCTCCCATTTTAAACATCGCACAGTGACGTCACCCCGGGACGTCGTCACCGCGGAGGCTGCTCCTCAAGTTGTACTTTGTTCCGGAGGCTCCTCGGCTCACCCGGGCGTGCACGGAGCCCAGGAGGAAACCCAGCCCCGTCTTCCAGGAGTTTCAAACTTTCTCCTTTTCCCTTCCGTGTAACGAAAAGCTCATCGCGACCGTTTCTAGAAACAGTGTCTCCCCTGCTAGACGTTCCCAAGGTTGAGGACGCGGGCGCCCGGCGGCGGGGGTGCGGCGCCCAGCACCGGCCTCGGCGGCGGGGCGAGGCGGGCTCCGGACGCCGGGGGCGCCGAGGTCCCCGAGGTCCCCGCGGGGCCCGGAGACGGGCTCTCCGGGCCGCGAAACCTGCCACTAAGCCCTCACGCTCGGCTCTCTGAGTGCGAGGTGAGTAGGCACCCGATACCTCCACCCGCTCCTCAAAGAACGACCTGGATGCGCGTCCAACTCGTGCAATCGGGGCTTCCCCGAGGTCAGGGGGAAGGGCCCCGGGTCCCATCCCCCGCCCGCGGCCCGGCGGGGGGCGCCCCCTCCCCAGTCTGCCCGCGGGCGCGCTGCCCCCGTGCCCGGGCCGGTCTCCGAGGGGCCCGGTTCGAGGACCCCGCTCCCCTCCGGCGCGACCCTCGGACAGCCGGGGTCTCCGGTCCCAGGCACCGCGCGGACGCAGAAGGGGGCGGCGGGGGGTGGGAAGGCGCGGGGCAGCCGCCCACCGGCAGGGGAAAGGAAGGAAACGTGGCAGCTGCCTCAAGGCGGCGTCTCCTCCGTCCCGATCCCGCCGAGGGTCCCGCGGAAACCCCGCCGGCCGCCCCCGCGGTCCCCAGCGCTCTCTTCGCGCCCAGCCGGAGCCGATGCAACTCGGTTCGATCTCTCGCTCCTCCCGGTTCTCCGGCGCGCGCCTCCCTCGGCGAGCCTTCGACGTGGCCGCAGGGGCGGCCGGACCACCCCCCCCCCCATGCCCTCAGTCCCACCGTGCCCGCCTCCCCCGGCCCGGCCTCCTCACCGCCGCCGCCGCCGCTCTGGAGCCGTAGATAAGGCGAACCCGACCGTCTTCGGGCGGAGAACCAAGGGCCCCGCCTCAGGGGGCCGCCGCTCGGCGGCCGGGAGCAAGGCGAGCTTGGTCCGGCTCGCGCGGCTCCCGCGTCGTCGGGCTAGCGAGCGCGAGCGAGCAGGCGAGCGCAACCCTGAGGCAGTGCGCTGGGGGCTCGCGGGCCGGAAGAGGGGAGGGGCGATGACCCGGGAAAGGGTTGGCGCCGCGCGGGACGGGCTCGCGCGCCTCGGGGGCGGGCCCTGGGGGCGGGGCTTTCCTGAGAGCCCGCCCCCGGAGCCCGGGCCACCACTATCCCGCGCGGACCTTCCAGTCCCACGTCGAGGGTAGCACCGAGGTGTAGTGTAGTCGCGTTCTGTGGACCGAGCGGAGCCCTGCCGCCCGCCTACTTGCGGCAGAGCCTTTGAGGTTACGCGGGCCACGTCCCTGGACTGTCTGGACTTCGGCTTCCCTGCTTTGGTCTCTCCTTGCCCCTCTGTGCCCTGACATCCTGTATGTTGGGAGTGCGAGCTCTAAATCCAGCTCTGTAGACCTCCATTTCTCTAGTACCAGGGTGTGAAGGAAAGGGGGTGGCAGGGGCGACGTGGACCCTATGGAAGGGAAGCTGCGTTTATGGGCTGATCCTTGACCTCGCGGTAGTAACTGAAGACATGTCAACTGCGCAGCTGCCATGTTAATTTTAGGTTATTTAGAGCGCCTAGATGGGCTTGGGCAGATGGCTCCTTCAGAGCAGGGACTACCTGTTGTGCGACCCCCGCCCCCACGTGGCACTGAGCAGTGTCTTGCAGAAAGGAGGGGCTCCAGGGTGTTGGCTGAATGAATGAAACCTTGAGAGTCTGGGCTTTCTGCTTTTGCGGTCCTTTTATTCAAGCATTTCCCAGACACAGCTTCATCTTTGAGCAAATACAAATATGGAAAAGGTACATTAACTTTCTGAAGAAAACGAGGAACATCTTTTCAACCTATTATATTGAGTTGGGACCATGGTATTCGTTTTGTGAAAGAACTTGAATACACCAAACAGGCCCCCAAAATACAAAGATATTTCTACTTTTAAAAAATTACTATTGAAAGAGTGAGTTTTCACTCTTTCCTGATAAAACATGTAAATCACTCAAGAGCTGATTGGTCAACATATAGATTGACCAGATTTCTCACAGTCCAGTAGGCCTCAGAGCATGTGTTCAGCCCAGCTTCGTGAATACTTTAAATTTTTATTACTGATGTTAGTAGTTATAGCTTATTAGCAATCCAAAACAATACTTTTTTTAGCAAAAATAGATATGTAATCCCAAGACCAGTACAAAAAATTGTATATTTTTTACAATTATTTTGTAAAAAATTATACTCTTCTACCTAGGGCTACTGGACTGGTCAATTTAAAGAGAGTACTGATATTCATACCCTGAAATATTCTAGGAGATATGAGCATGTTTCCATTCTAAACTCATAACAATCTGATTGAGGTTATTTACCAACAAAGGTTTTTATCTCTGCAATTTCATAAAGTAGCTAGGAAGCCACAAACATTACTCAAAATTTGTTCTAAAATTCCTATAGCTCAAGATTGCTATATTGTGTAATGTTTAGAAATCTGTGGCCCACGTGGACCAGACTTAGAGCAATACCATTTCCAAAAAACACAGGCATGTATCTGAAATATGATTTCAAAATAAATTTTTAAGGTTCTCATAGCCTGAACACTGAAGCATATAAGTAACAAACACATCTTAAACACTTCTCTTTTTTTCTCCTCCACTGTTCTCACACAAGATAGCTGCTTGTGTGGTTTCAAAATGTGGCCAGTTCTTCAGATCTTTTCCCCCAGTTCCTTTTTTACCTTAGCTGGAATCACAAAAGCCCCAAGGAATTGGTCTATCAAGGCCGGACCCTTCTCTTTAGGAGGCTGAAGAAGAGCCAAGCTGAAACAATTACGCAATAAAATGTAATTTTCCTTTCACGGCTGATTCATTTTCACAGTGAAATCTAAATGTTCACTAAGATTGTTTGTTAATAGGTCTAGTTTGCTTTTAGCACAAGTGGTTTCTTTTGAAAATGAGCCACCTTAATAGCACAGGGGCTTTAAAGTCACACACATCGTGTGGTTGTATCCCAAAGTCATAGTAAACAACTCATACGCAATCCCAAAGCTATGAATAGCTTTCAAAATCAGGGCTTCTTTCCCACAAAATAACTGTGTAACTCTTTAAAAATCTATTCTTCCATTGAGTTTAGAGGAGTTAAATTTTAAAAACAGAATAATTTCAGGTACCATCTTAATCTACTTGTCAGGTTGGAATCTGAATACAAAGCTGTTACTTTTATAGTGGAGAGAGAGAGTCCTGTTATACAACATCAAGGAAAAGTGTGCAGCCTTTGGGGATCATTGGACGTCTATCAAGTGGCATTAAAACTTTTTAATTCTAAAAATACTTCAGCTCTGCTGGTGCGGCTCAGTGGATTGAGTGCCAGCCCGTGAACCAAAAGGCCATTGGTTCGATTCCCTGTGCCTGGGTTGCAGCTCAGGTCCCCAGTTGTGGGTACATGGGAGGCAACCAATTGATGTTTCTCTAGCACATTGCTGTTTCTCTTCCTCTTTTTCTCCCTCCCTCCCTTCTCCTCGCTCTAAAAGTAAATAAATAAAACCTTAAAAAAACAACACTTCAATATATTTCTTCACAGTTTTCCAATATTTAACTAGTTAGCTAAATTAAATTAACTCTATTTTCTTTGCTTCGATTTCTTAAATCTCAATAAACTGGTGGTGTTTATAAAAACAAGCATAAAGAAGATTTATAATCTTCATTATTTTCTCCATTACATCATGCAATGAAACTGACTTCCAAAACTCACACACAAATTCTCTTGATGAATGAGGCAATGGAAACTGGACACACCAACTTTGTATTTCCTGCCCCAACCACTCTCCAAACACCAAACATGTCCTATCTTTTTCAGAAAATATGTTGATCCAACTTCTCATATTCTTTGTTAGCAATTGGTTAGGATTTGTCGATTCGTGTGAATGAGGTTTGTTACCAGGTAAAATGGGATTCGACCATCTGGCACTGTAGACAAGCATAATGCAATAATTTGTGGGGAAGGAAAAAGGTTTTTGTTAACAGGGTGCTCAGTTTGGGGGAAAGGAGGCTACCCTGCTCCAAGCCATTCTCTTCTGCAAAACACAGAAATTCCCTTGTTCCCGAAAAAGACAAATCGAAAGCCATGCCCAGAGACCCCCCACCCTTCATTCTTATGTGCCTTTTTGGAGTCTAAGGCTGCTACATGAAGGGGTCTCTATCTCTCCAGCTCTAGGCGTTCTCTTTCCCTGGAGTGCACACTTGTGAAGCCAGTGTCTCTGTTGCCCTACCATAGCTTCCTCCCTCTCCCAGGGCCCAGATGTACTGCCAGATCATTGAAGCAGGTCGTTTGAGGGGCTCCGTCCACTGGGCCCCCGCATCCAACGCTGCTCGCACCCCTGAGACCAGAGAGCTTCCCTGGGAGCAGTCTGGGAACCGTTTTGCACAGCACAGCATCTCTCAGGCCTGCTGCTGGTGGAGCATGAGCTTGCTCCACACTGTGCCAGCAGGGCAATGCAAGAGCCACCAGCGGGATGCAGTATCTGTTACCCCACTCTGGGAGCACAGCCTCTCATGTCGGCTTGGGGTTCCTCACTCTCTAGCAATCTGCTCAGAGCCCCCACCCCATTACAGATTAAGAAAATGTATAGGTGGGCTGCACACTGTGGGCTCAAGTAGAGCTTCCTATTAAAAACTCCTGATTAAAATTCCCCTGCTTGTTAGGAGAGGTATCATTGCTCTTGAGTTCCTTTGACAATACTCTTGTTCTCCATACCAGCAGAGAAACTGAATTCTATTAACAAGTAGTATACAAATCCTTTCTCTTATTCCATGTAACAAATTAAGAATATAATTACATACAATTAGCAAAAGGTTCAGAATATTGTAAAAGAAAGAGTTGCTTTGAAATATAACTGCTAGGGTTCTCAGAGAAATGGATCCAACAGTATGCATATATGGAGAAGGAGATTTCTTTTAAGGGATTGGCTCATGCAATTATGGGAATTGGCAAGTCCAAAATCTGTAGGGCAGGCTGGCAGCCTGAAAACCCAAGCAAGAGTTGAGAGAGTTGAAGGTGCAGTCTTGAGTCCAAAATCCATGGGCAGGATTCCCCTTACTGTCTTAAAGAAGTAATATTCATTCTACTACAAAAAAAAACACAAACGAACTTTTTTTTCATTGATTTTGGAGAGAGAGAGAAGAACAGAGAAGGGAAGGGAGAGAGAGAGGGAAACATTGATTTGTTGTTCTACTTATTGATGCATTCATTAGTTTTTTCTTATATGTGCCCTGACCAGAGAGATCGAATCTGCAACCTTAGCATATCAGGCCATCACTATAACGAACTGAACTACGTGACCAGGGCTGGAAAACCTCAGTTTTTACTATTAAAGCCTTCAACTTATTGAGGCCCACCCACATTATTGAGGGTAATCTCCTTTATGTAAAATTCATTGGTTATAAATGTTAATCACATCTACAAAATACCCATCACAGCAATATCTAGTCTTAGTGTTTGACCAAACAACTGGGTGCCATGGTGTAGCCCAAGCTGACACATAAAATTAACCATCACAACAACCTTCATTCAATAGTATTTCCTCAGAGCCACAAGATAAGTAGGCTTAAATATATAAATCTCTTAGTGAATGACATAAAGCATGCCTTCATTAAGAAAACAAGTCCTCACGTTTTTACTTTTCTTGGCTCTTTTTAGACAGTTGCGTGGTGGTGGGAAGTATGGGCATGGGGAGGTAGGACTGTACGCCATTTCTCAAAAGCCCTCTTCTGCATAACCATGTCAAATGTTTGTGCTAGAGCATTGGGAATAGTGTGCCTGTTAGGATAAAAAAATGAACAAATAAATTGCTCACAACCTATGGAAGGTAGACATGTGGACAATCTACATATTACAAGTTGTGTTATAAATTAAGTGCCATACAAAAATATAAAGTCAGTAGTGTTGTAGGTATATAAAAGGGTTTAGGTTTGATTGTGCTCTCAGCTGAAAGGAAGATTCCCAGACTGGTGGAACTGCATTGCAAACATTCCTTACTGTTTTTTTTTCAATCCAAGCAG